CTTAAATTCTCCCGCCAAAAAAAAATTATTGGCACCCTCACCTGGTTAATTAATTGGATTAAGTTTTCCCGCCAAAAAACTTAGTATATAGACCACTCTAACCTTGAACTTGTGCCCCCCTCCCCACTCTTCCTGCCCACCTTCCACAACTCAGTATGTTAGTTACACTGTTCTCTGGACTTCTTCGAACATGTAGTCACCACACTGCTACACAAACACTTTGTTGATCGAGTGCAGTTTTTCCACCACTTAGACTTTAGAATAATCTCTTGCTCTCCTGGTGGGTCAATTGCACTGGTATACTGATGTGTCGAAGCATCAATGTCTCCGAAAAGACATCCCCCGGGGAGTACACTTAGTGCATTGACTGACCAGGAGAGCGAGACATTATTCTAAAGGCTAAGTGGTGGAAAAACTGCACTCGATCAACAAAGTGTTTGTGTAGCAGTGTGGTGACTACATGTTCGAAGAAGTCCAGAGAACAGTAACTGAGTTGTGGAAGGTGTGCAGGAAGAGTGTGGGGCACAAGTTCAAGGTTAGAGTGGTCTATATATATAAGTTTTTTGGCGGGAAAACTTAATCCAATTAATTAACCAGGTGAGGATGCCAATTTTTTTTTTAGCGGGAGAATTTAAGTGTCAAAAGAAACGTCTAAAGCGACAATTTGGCATTCATACGATACGAAGAGGTTGACTAAGGAATTCATGTGGCCGGCTAAGATTCAAAGTTTTTCGACGGAAGAATTTAAGTGTAAAGGTCTGAAGCATCAATTTAAGGACAATTTTGCATTCAACCATACAATATGAAGAATTTTTCAGTGTTGTTTAACATGAAATTGAAGTCGCCGGCTACAATATACGTTAAATGAAAAAAGAGAAATGTGAGTGCAAGTGTGTGCATGTGGAATGTTGTCTCGTGTTAATAAAGAAACCATACTCACTCCTGCCTATCTTCCCCCTGCTGCAGTCCAGTCTCCGGGTCCGCATCTTGAAAACAAAGAAACAAAAGTCACTGTATTGATAACAGCAATTGGCCTTACTAATCAAGATATTATGTCACACAACATGCAAGTTTATGACAGTAAGAATGGAGCTAAATGCTGCCTGTAAAGGTCCAAAGCACAGTGCAGAAAGTGTGACGTGCTGTATCTCAAATGACTAAAAGTGCAATGTGGGACCAAGGAGGTTATACTGCAGAGTCTGACATTATACATTATACAGTGTAACCTCTTTTGTCAGACTACTCGTTTGAAGATGTGAAAAGGAGTCTAGATACAAAATGTATTGTACTTGTAGCATGTTACACCTCAGAGTTCTTAATAATAATAACATATGTGATGAAGGTAAAGATGAACTTCTTGTATGCGACCTTTTACTTTGCCTTTTCCTAGAAATGTTGACAAGTGCTCAAGAAGTCTAATATACTAGTCATTTATTCAAGTCAAAGGCAATACAAAATTAATGTGACAGATGTTTTGCTTCATGTGTGTTATTTTTACAAAGTGTAAGACATAAGGGAAGAGTGCTAGAGTCAAACAGATCTTCAAAAGCAATCATTATCTCACCTGTGGATGTTGTTGTCATCTTGCTCTTGTGTCTCTAAATCACCCGATCTGGTCCAATCTTCTCTTGTCAGGTATACAAAGAATTCACCACTACTGCATCATTCAGCAGCCACCTAACTATACAGACATCAGAAATTACACACTTGTCTCAAATAACATCAAATAGCTGTAGGTAAAATGCAGAATTGGGATTTTTCTCACCTAACAGATATTCCTCTTGGGTCTTCAAATCATCTGGTCTGGTCCAGTCTGTCTTGTCAGGTACAGGCAGTAGTCCCCACTACTGCATCAGTCAGTCAGTCAGCAGCCACCTTCAGTACATGTATCTACAATGTGTACAGACATTGAAAGTTACGCACTTGTCTCAAATAATACCAAGTAAATGGTAGTTAAAAAACAGAATTTGAATTTTTCTCACCTGATATTCCTCTTGGGTCATCAAATCATCTGGTCTGGTCCAATCTGTCTTGTCAGGTTCAGACAATAGTCTTCACTACTGCATCAGTCAGCAGACACCTAACTATACAGACATCAGAAATTACACACTTGTCTCAAATAACATCAAATAGCTGTAGGTAAAATGCAGAATTGGGATTTTTCTCACCTAACAGATATTCCTCTTGGGTCTTCAAATCATCAGACTGGTCTGGTCCAGTCTGTCTTGTCAGGTACAGGCAGTTATTAAAGTCCCCACTACTGCATCAGTCAGCAGCCACCTACAGTACATGTACATGTAACTACAATGTGTACAGACATTAAAAGTTACACACTTGTCTCTAATAATACCAAGTAAATGGTAGTTAAAATGCAGAATTGGGATTTTTCTCACCTGATATTCCTCTTCGGTCTTTAAATCATTTGGTCCATTCTTCTCTTGTCAGGTTCAGACAGTAGTCTTCACTCCTATACTTATAATAATTGCCATACGATGTATCCGTACATTAGTTGTGCAATAAACTTTGACTTGACTTGACTTGACTATATAAGTCAGCAGCCATCTAGCTATGCAGACATTAAACGTTACACACTTGTTTCAAATAATACCAAGTAAATGGTGGGTAAAGTGAAGAATTGGAATTTTTCTCACCTGATATTCCTCTTGAGTCTTCAAATCATCTGATGTGGTCCAAATCTGTCTTGTCAGGTTCAGACAACAGTCTTAACTACTGCATCAGTCAGCAGACACCTAACTGTACATACATTAGAAGTTAATTACACTTGCTTAAAGTAACGCCAAATAGTTGTAGGTAAAATGCAGAGTTCAGCTTGTCTCACCTGAAATTACCCTTCGGTCTTCAAATCATTTGGTCGGCATTCTTCTCTTCTCAGGTTCAGACAGTACTGTAGTCTTCACTCCTGTATCAGTCAGCAGACACCTAAATATACAGACATTACAAGTTACACACACTCAGTACTAAATGTCTCAAATAGTACCAAGTAAATGGTGGGTAAAATGCAGAATAGGGATTTTTCTCACCTGATTGGTGAGTCTTGGGTCTGTCTTGTCAGGTTCAGACAGTACTGCAAGTCCTCACTACTGCATCAGTCATCACCTAACTATATACAGACATTAGAAGTTACACACTTGTCTCAACTCAAACTAACTGTAGGTAAAATGCGGATCACGTGTTCAGATTTTTCTCACATGATATTCCTCTTTGGTCTTCAAATCATTCGTCCAATCTGTCTTGTCAGGCTCAGACAGAAGTTCTCACTACTGCATCAGCCATCATCTAACCATAGATACATTATAAGTTGAACACTTGCACACACACACCTTAAATTTATATATATGATATCTTTACTTTAAAACAAACACATACCTCGACAAAAACTGTACATAATGACCATAAAAATCGTGGATAGAAACAACAATAGAATAAATTAACCCCCTTCAACTGAAACTTTATGTGGAATACGAAAACACTCGGCGCAATATGTTTTGAACACATACCTTCAAGCATAGTCAACTGTAATGTTTTGTAATTGTGCCAGAAATACGTGGGGTTGGTCATTTTAATACTATTTACTGTATTCCTCTAAAATGGAAACGAAGAAGCTTTTAAATTATACATAATACATTGCAAATGACAATGAAGAACGAAAGTATGGTCACCTCGACATAACTAGTTTTCAACCGTTTTGTATCGTATTCATTTTGGCGCCCTGAAGCTTTGAGGCCACCATCTTGTTTACGCTAATTTTTGGCGGGAAACGGCCACATTCCAACAGGTGTTTTGAACCACGCAGAGATAAAGAAAAATATTTGGTCGATACACAATTTCTTTCAATAAATATAACCTCAAAACGCTGAACAACTGACTAAAAAGACATGCACATACACTTTATATATACTCTACAAGCGCACCACCCATTGAAAATGTTGTTGAAAACGCGGCAACTTGATAGACTTTTCTAAGCCTGTCTAAAATTTAGGAACGGCCGCTCCCTAATACAGAAAAAGGTCATTTCTTACAGAATACTAGTATAACTTTACATGTTCGTACTAGTTGCTAAGGAAAATGTCAGCCAAACAATGTATACTGGTTTACCTGCAATAATGAGCGAAGTCGTCTCTACACCACGCTACTCTTCCCAACTGTCTCGCCATTTTTGTCTTCTCCAAAATTCGCCAGGTCAGGAAATCCGCATTTTCTCTTCAAAACATCACCAGAACGGTACAAATCCTCGGCGAACACTCCCATACATTCTGTTGCACACTTACTAAGACATTCTACCGACGAAAACGTCTGAAAGTACCCAGTAAGTTTGAAAAAATCAGCCCAGAGTATTTCCGTCGTACGAAAGCGCCATTTTGAAGGGACCATGCCAAACTTGTTTTTACACAGGAGTGCAGAACGGCCGTGCATAATTAATGTAAAGTTGATAATCTAATTATCACGACCAATGATGACCCGTTTCGGTGCCAGGCACTTATATGTGTCGGAGAAGGACGATTAGATTACGACTATAATACGAGTATCTAATTACGAAAAAATACTAACGTCGGTGCACTTCTGTACACTGGGACAGCGTTGTAGGGGATCCCTTGTACTCAGGTTTTGACTATTCGATCGTGTTACGTTGCTACGCTGTTTTTGCGACATGAAATTGATTTGTTTAACCTGAAACATAGTCATGATGTACAATACAGTACTGTCTCGTGTAAATATACAAAAAGTGTTCACCATTGCCTTTTTGATACTTGTGGAATATCAGCCAGTCACAGTTTTTAAGTTCAGCCAGGATTGAATAAACATTCTACAAAGCTGACTAGGTTGTTTCTTTTGATTGAACTACCCAGTATTTGGCTGTACTACTTTCTTTAAAATGTGCATACCCCCAACTAAGCAGAACACTATATACAATGTAATAGTAACTGTTATACTATTAATATAATAATGTGTTCAGTAATACGACAACGCAGCAAACACACAGGATTTCTGCTTTTAATATTCCTCATGTTCTTCCTCATGCATATTCAAGTTTACAACAAGAAAAAAACACTATACATACAGTTCAAGACTGAACATGACATTACCCAGAAAAAAGTTTTATAAAGTCTTACATTCATACATGTACCATGCTTTACTTTTGTGATGTTTGATAATACATGAACCAAAATTTCTTTTTTTTATAACACATTTCAGCATGGGATTTTGCACTGATTAAAGCGAAACTATTACAAAGATACTCTGACATACAGAATATACAGTAAAGTGCTGTATTAGGAAAAAAACTAATTCATGGCAAAGGCCTTAATGCAACGATGATATAACTCAAACATGTATTGTATGTGCTTTCATACAACTGCATTTAAGAAAATGCCACTTATTTTACAACTGGATAGAAAGGAACCGTATAATACAAAACCCTATAAGCATATATTCCATACCCAAAGAAATTTTAATGTACAAACTAAAGAATCCAGTTAGAAACATCCCATATTACCTGAACACAGCCAGTAAGAGATACAAACATTAAATTGCTGTCCCATTTTATCTTGCAATAACTTTACAAAAGCAGATTGTTTCTTCTGTGTTTTTGTTTTCGTTTTTTTGTAAGAGTTTTGCCCCAACACCCAGTAGTGACCAGAACTGTACTGTGGCCATGCTAAACATTCAATGTAGCTTTGCATCTAACAGCAGATGCACTAAAGAAACAGACCTTCCAGTATATGGAAACATTTAAGTCTGAACTTATGAACCAAACCCTGATTGAACTTCCCCAAAATGCCAAGAGCAGAAATATGTTTTCCTTTTTTTTTCAAACCTGGCATGTTATGCAAGAGTGTTGTTTTTTTGTCATTTTTTCCCCTAAAATTACATGAAATGCATCTTAATGGCTATTTTTTTTCAGTGGAGTACAACATGTACATCTGTGGGGTGTTTTTACAATTTTCAAACTCCTGCTGTCATACATGTAGTACTGTTACATGTCACAGCTTTTACAAAACCTTTACTTGCTAGACTAGCAAAATTTACTTTGAACAATGCCAAAATAAGGAGTAAACATACATGAAGCCTGAAAAGGTGGACCAATTTGTGTTAACATTAATACCAAGAACAGTACCTGTTTTATTGCAATATCATACATGTACGTACACATCCCAAACAAAAATGAAGCAGCAAGTTAACTTCTTCCCCAGATGGCTTTTAGGGTCATGGAGAAGTGCAAGATCTACTTGCACTGATAACAAACCACATTTTTTTTCTTTTACAAGAACTGAGATTGTATCATAGCTGGCTGTGGATATTGTCTTGTAGACTGTTGTTTGAACACTACCTCTTTACAGGCTTGCCATTTTCATGATTGAAGTCATTTATTTAATTTTTTTGTAGAAGTCACAAGTTGGTCTCGTCAAAATTAGTCTCGGCTAAACTCTTGATGGACTTGCGGATGATGGACTCCATTCTCTTCCTGGCCATCACCTCCTCCTCAAGACCCTTGTTAAGCCTTTTGGTTTCCTGCAATGGTTGGTTGGAGGAAGGGGGAAGTCAGATGGGTCAGGTACAAACAGTTGAGGCCCAAGGCTGCTGCCTTGTGGAACACCAATTTCACATCCAAAAAATTACAGCTTAAAAAGCAAAGTAAAGTCTGTAGTGATGATCAAAACTAGTTGTGGCCCAAGGCTGCTGCCTTGTGGAACACCAATTTCACATCCAAATAATACTGGCTTAAAGGCAAAGGAAAGTCTGTTGTGAAGAAGCACAACAAAAGTCTGCAATTTTGTTGAATGGTGTTGTTGGATGCGGAAAGCATAATGCAGATCTTTTCGTTAAATTTTTTTTCTTTTAGAATGAATCAAAAACATTGCGTTGCCAACAAAGCAATCAAACAACAGACAACAATGTACATGGATATGAGTCAGGGAAACGACTTGAATGATGATGTTTTGTCATGACAAGTCAAAGCATATTAAAAAAACGCAATAATGATTTGCAAATTTTGTCAGCTGTTACTATTACACATCTTTCTCCATCAAATTTGTGGTAATTGAAAAACGTTGCCATTTCAAATTTGATCAAGCATTCAAGCATTACATACACATAATTTCCATAGGAAGAATTTTAGAGCTTTAGATATTAGAAGGGTTAGCAAGTAGATTTAGTCAGCAACAGTTTAAGGAGTCACAGAAAACAATGATATATGTGAAAGCAATATTTCCCACACTGTTTCAACATGCTTGACTGTCCCAGGCCTGGTGAAAAGACATCTTGTGAGATACAACCTGACAAGTTGTGTGTCCTCAACAATTTTCTTAAGAACGGGACAGCTCTGTTTCTCATATTACAAGTTTGCAGCTCATCAAAATGTTTGAACTTCTGGGCACCATTAAGCCTTGAGTTAAAAATTCCAGCCTTCAGTTCAAATTGTTAAAGGTAGTTGCAAATACCTCATAGCATATGTACAGCAAATGGTATTCCACAGTTTTTGTTTTTGTCATTTTGGTCCCATTTAAGAGCGCGAAGATTTTCATTCATTGTTACGCATCAAAATCGTATCCTCCTATTAATCAAACCTTTCACAAAATAACAACACAAGGGTTGTTCCCAATTCACGTCAGCAGAAATATTTCTACATTTCTTCAGTCTTCCCTTCTTATAACAAGACATTACTGGAACAGAAAAGAACAATTACACATGCACACAAGCACATTTCTTCACCTGGCCATTACATTTAGTATCTCACATACTTTTCCCTAAAACGGGAGCCAGCCGAGCAATTTCCTCCCTTGCTCCCTGCCACGGTGACTATCCAGGGGTGCAGACAAGCGGTGGGTAAAGAGACACTCCTATGTTAGGATCTGCTTGCTTTCACATGCATACATGGTTTGAAATGTACCTCATGTAAGAAGTAAGAGAGACGTGGTGAGTATGAAAAAGGGGAAAGAAGTGTCAAGGGTTAGGTGATTTAGTTCGAAATACTTGTTACACAAGGTACCAACATATATATTCTGCTTGCTGCAGTGCAGTGAAGGAGGGACAAGGGACACTGCTTCACACTTTACAGCATGAATGGGACTTTGGGACAACATTGTCACGCAGCCCCAACAAAAATACAAGGGACAAAGAAAACAATGGCATGAAGATAAATGAAATGCCGATGCCTCTTTTGTTTAAAGGCTTACTGTGAGATTGTCATACATTTTTATTTAGATTTGCGGCTGAACCTGGAAGTGGTACTTATTTGCATAAATAATATCATAAATATAATTTATGATATTATCGTAATATCATGTTTACTGTGATACTGCTGCCAAATCATTTCAAACAACTTGTACATGCACTTAACCAATCACAGAAAAGCTTAAGCCATGCATGGCCAATCACAGGTCTGCATCATCAGCCAATCACAGACCTTTTCATATCATCAGCCAATCACAGTGCTTCATGCATGTCAGCCAATCATGTTCCATTTCTCTTCTCATATGGCCATCAATGCACAATCTATACTAGATGTTCAGCAAACTCCTTAGTAATTTTAATTCTTGAGGTGCAAACCAGGCGTCTGAGAAGTCTTCTCTGCCTCACGAAGGGTAAGCCTCACAAAACAAAGGAAGCCGAGAACAAGAAAAGCCATGGAAACACAACAGTGCAGCAAGAGATAGCAGGATTATGTGCATGGGTATGAAGTGGTTGCAAAAAACAAAAGTAACAAAAAAATAAGACTGCAGCTTACTTTGCATAATTCTTCGACTTGATCTTTCAGCTGATAAACAGTGTCAACTAGGCTCCTGTACACCAACAGAACACAAATAGAGATGATCAACTCAGGATATGTTGAATAATAGGCTCCACTGTGCTGTTACTTGGTTATAACTAATGTACTTCAACTAATACGTCTTTTGGTACATATAGCTCTACAGGAAACCTGCTTTCATACAAACATGACTACACATATCTAGAGAAAAAAACTTTCAAAAACTCAGAATTTTGCTTCTAAACTTCCACTAAAACCTGCATTGGATAAAGTACTTAGTAATTATTTTACTAAATAAGTTTCAATTACGTTTGTCTACCTCTACATTGTATTTGAGGAAGTTAAAATTCAGCAAACTCTACATATTATTAAGTCTATGTTTAGTAAAAATTATCAGCTTTACTTTACTACTGGCATCTACATGTATGTAACTACTTTTGCAAACAACTTTATCACTACCTCACTGACAGAAGTACTACAGGTTATTCAAGCTTGGGGACTACAAGCTAGCATGACTGCCAACAGCAGAACAATGGGGAAGTCCGTGTTAGTTCTTGGTTTATAAATACAGAGTAAAGAGACAGGGTCTAAGAGTACACCCGTAACACTGAAAGTCACCATACTCCAGCTGAAGCTATAGACAGACAGTGGGGGGCATGATAGAGGAGGAAGGGTGAAAAGGGATCAGAGTTAAAGATGGGCTTCCTTAGTATGCTTTTAGACAAGTGACAGCAGAGAGAAGTGTTTTAAGAGCACACCAGAATCAAAACACTGAATCTAAGGCTTGTCTTGTACTTTTTATCCCTCTTCGTCCATGATAAATTTCTGAATTAATCTACGTTCTTTGTTTAAAGCTTAGTCTTTCATTTTAAGTCTTCTTGCATGCTAAGACAAGGTTGAGGCAATTTGAACTTAAAGCAGAGTTCTTTAGTCTTGCCAAATGATTCTTTCAAGTCTTCATTCCTGGTTGATAGTAACTCGAGTTATGTGACCAACTAACAGCACTGGTTTTGGCAGTAACCTAGTATTAACTTATCGACTTCATACCAATCCACACAGAAACAGAACTGGTGATGAGCGGTGAAAACAATGTGGGGAGGTGAAGGCATGGGGAGGGGGGAGAGAAGGGGGAGGGGGCAAACAGACAACTGGAAAACAGTATAGGGCCATCTCAAAAGTTCATACTCTTCAGTAATGTTTTTTGTTTCTCTACGTTTCCTCCGACCACAATTTCTAATTCGAGATACAATGTACTTCTGAAATGGCCCTGAAATACATGTAGGACTTTACAATTCACAGTTCTAGTACACAGTCGTCCAAGAGTAGAAGTCACCATCCTTCCTAGTGTAGTGGTGATACAAAATAATTTGGGCATAAAACACAGAAAACGTTATAAATGACTGGGTTTGCAAAGAGAAAATCATGTACAGCAGGTTTAACCAATTTTGTTGTACAATACTATTTCAGGAATTCAGTGACTACCCTTCTCTTGGACAACTATCTTTTCAATTGTAAACATCATTCTAAAAACTGGAGTCAATATTTTCTTTTGTTTTGGACTTTCAACAGGGAAAGAAAATGCATGGTACAGGTGAAAGAATTATTTTTACAACTTCCTTCAAGTATATTTTCATCCTTAAAAGACAATCTGAGGCAATACGAGTAAGAACAATACCCAACACTTTCTCAGTTAAGAAGGTCTTATGTACTTGGCTCTGAAGAGAAAAATGATCCCTACAACAGAATTTTTCCTTACAGAAAATTTGTGACACAAGAATCATACACTAACAACAACAAGGAAATTGACTGACTTTTCCTGCACCACTGTCTGGTTGTTCTTTGTCTCCTCCACTATGATTTTCTCTTCCTCAGGAACCAAGACTTGCGGTGCCTGTTCTAAACGTCCTGTGGACAGAAGTACCAAGGTCATGAAGTAAACAAACAAACAACAACAGATTTCTGTAATATCGCTTCATCAATTCAGCCTTTGGGCTGCTACTGTTGAGATATATTTGATGTCATAATAATAAACCATTCTATAGGATCCACACTTTCACCAGTTTCCAACTTCTTATAAATAATAAGACAACTGAAAGTATACTGCCAGGCATCTTTATTCTTCTGAAAATTCCAGTGAGTCTTTTCCACCAACTCAGATGAACTTTCATGCTACACCATAGACTTGCTGGGATATTTTCATTTGCTTGCATTTGCATCCTCACAAACATTTATTGCATCTCCATCTTCTGCAAATACTAAGTGTTCAAAATGATATGTTGTGATTCTAGCATTATTGTCGATCAAGGCTAAACAATGTTCCACATTAGCACACATTAGCCACATGTCCCACATTAGCACACAAGGACAATATACATGTAAGTTACTGTAGATATCATGGCACATTAGTCACACACACACTATCACCTCCCTACTTTGCATAACCACCCAATGAATGTACTTGAAAATGAAAGAAACGTGATATGATACAAAATTGAGTCAGGTATTCTTTTCTAGCTCACACTGTATCACCACTGGCACTCAAACCTGTCTCCCTTTTGCATTAAACATTGCAATCCAAAAATACATGTAGTGCTAAACACTACAACTGGCATCATAAGAAATAGACTGAGTCTTATATTGTAGTTTGAATTGTTTAATACCAAAACATCTCCTCTACTGCCCATAGCTTGAGTAAACTTTAACAATACGTGAGAAGCAAGAAACAAGGTTAGAGTAGGCGAGAGTATACCTTTTGTACAAAAGTAAACTGTATGGAACTCTGAGTCAGAAATACAAACTCTCTTGATCATCAGTACAAAAAGGGCAGAGAGGTTTTTGGCAGGTACATACACAGACTAGAACTTAGTTCATTTGTGAGTGAGTATACCACAGAAGTTATTGCACATGACCCAAGTCTAAAATAAGGATTCTTTTAGTCTGTTGCGTTCATGACTATCTATGCACCAATATCATGCTTCAACATCCTACATAATATACAAACTTTTTACAATGTACACTACACCATAGCATGCACATATCAAGAGTAAAATCTGAAAATGTTCCAAAATTATATCCAGGTATCTCTCAACTACACATTCCAAAGTGCTACAGTGACAAGTCAAGCATTACAGCAGAGTAAAGCTGATCTAATGCAACACCAAGTTTGCATTCAAATTAGTTCTTTTACCATGCCACAATATTACTAAAATAATTACTTTTTTCATTACAAAATCTCGCATTCAGTTAACAACAGCACAGTAGTTATCAATACGCCAATTGTCAAAAGATATAAAAGCACAATAGAAATGTACATCAGCTCAAAAACTCGTGAGTATCTCAGTCAGTTTGTTAGATATGTAAACTTGATGTCCATTTCAGGACTGGAAGAATGATTTCCAACTGGAAAGGTCTCCAAATCAGCAACCGTACTGTTTGGTCCACACATTTAGAGTTGTCCATTGACGCAGTGCCCCACTGCATTGTTTTTCCGTGAGAAGCAACATACTGACAGGCACAGTTTCCTAGAATTTCGGACAGCATTTGTGCATCAGTCCCTTCTTCTGCAGTAAGGCATAATCATAATCATCTGACGGTCTTCTCGGTACGCCACCGTTGCTATGGTTATTGTTGCTATGGTTACCAGAAGCGTCCTTGGCCTCCCCGGGCTCCAGCGAAACTTTGTACAGCTCTGGTGCATCATGGGAAGGAAGATGAAAGTTAATTATCCAATCAGATCATCCAACTTTGACTTTCTGAAAAACTTCCTGTTTTGAGTTTCTTTTTTCAGAGGGAAAACTTTCAGTTCACAGAGAAATAAAAGAAATTTGCCTGCTGCTACAGTCTAGAAATGCAGCATTTAACTCCCTCTCAAAATACTGAAGAACTAAAGAAAGTAAACAAGGTATGCCTCAACTGATGCCTTACAAAGATTTTTTAAAGTTTGCAAAACTCCAAAAAGGGAATGTTTCATTCAATAGCAATAGAGGTTATAGTTTCAAATAAATGTCAATCAATTAACAAGTACCTTTGTTGACCATTAACAATTACATTTGTTTGAAGCAGAGAAAAATGACAAAAATTTGAAAGAAAAGGAAAAAGGAGACATTAAAATAAACAGCTTGCATGATAGAAGCGAGGAGTTTTCGGCAGAAGCAAAGCAGTGTCATGTTGGATGATTACTGGATTGAATAACAAACCTTCCATCCCTGTTCCCATGTTCCTATCAATGATTATAATCCTTAAACCCATTTCTCAACATACATGTAGTAACTCAATACATACCAAGTTCTTCACAACAATACCCTTTGTCTGAAGGTAGGTTAACACCTCTGTTAACAGACTTGACAAGACAGACAGTGTAAAAGAAGATATTCTTTTAGTTGGCATATCTAACATTAGTATGCATCGAGCAAAAAGGAGCAGGTTTGGGTGCCAGTGGTATTGTGGAGGTTGTCTTGCATTCTGAATGTGTGACATTGTTTGGGGATATTCTTTGTCAAAGACATAAGTTTAGGGTTTAATGATTGTTTATGAATATTTAGTACAATTTATAACACTTGGGACCAGTGTTTTTCAGTAATTTAACAGCTCTTGTGATCTTTTAACAGTTATTTCTAAACCTGAATAGATAAAAATCAGTTGAACATAAACTAGCAGCAGCACACAAAGCATCACTAACAGTACAGTACTTTCTACAGCACATTGTCTCACTACTTCAAGTGTTACCTTGTCTGCTTGATGTGCTCAGTAAGCTCTGTTGTCTCATCTTACTGGTGCTGGTACAATAAGCCTCGATAACCCTCAACACTGCTGCATCCTCCTCCAACTGCGCGCTACCTGAAAGGCACATCGTACACTACTTTCCTTTCTCTATGGCACACAATATTTATGTTTCCCTTTGCAGAAGGATATGGTTTTGCTCAGTTTCTTTTTCTTCTCCAAACAAATAAGGTCAATGACCTGGATCAGATGGCTGTCACCATGGTAACTGGTGCTGTAGCAGACACCTTGTGGTGTTGAGTTACATTATGTAGCAAGTTGGAGGGGTTGGTCCCAATATATCATTGAATGCCAAAACCTCATTTTCCCTGCTTCAACAAAATAAAACCACTGCAAAGGTAAGTGCATTTACAGTACTTTTAGTGTGTCTTTCCAGTGTTGGTGCTTACAGCACACCTCAATGGCTTAGAAGTAATATAACAATAAGTAGACAAAAATGGTTTCTTTGACTTGTATAAACCCACTCACTTAGTCTTACTGGAGGGTACTCTTCTTCTAGTTTTGCTCTGTCTGCAAAAAAAGTACAGAAACTTATTATGATAGACAATAGGAAGCATATTCAAATGTATCACTCAGAACTTTTCTTTCCTGTATAACTGTATGTATCAGTATTGACAAGTTATATAAAAAGTACAAGACTATTTACATTGTCATCATCAATACTTTTTTCCCCTTAAAACTCCTAAAATCCTAAAATCCTTAAAAATTCAATAACTGAGTCATACCATCATTTTAGAATAAAAAAATTCCCTTACCTTGTTTTCTTCTCATGGAAGACGTTAACAATCTCCTAACTGTCCTGGGACTCCTGTTGGGGTCCTTTAGATGGAAACATGACACAAAGTTAGGAACAAACACCAAAAAAGATCATGGTAGTAGAAAATCAGAAACACTCCCAATTGGAAGTCCTGTTACATCCACTTGTGACCAAATTCTTTACACCAGAACATACAACTGTTGTTGTAAACTAACTTACATTGTACATTAGTCTCTTTTTTTCTTCTTTCTAAAACATATTTGAAAATACTGATGCTAAATCACAATATGACAAAAAAAAAATGTTCCCTAACAGCATTAAAAGCCGATGTTGTAACAACAGAATGTTACTTTGGGAAGGTTATGAACTGGGATGGTAAAGGGAGTGAAGATGAAAATAGCAGCACATTCGTCTACAACGAACCTGGCACAGGAAACAGGATGTCACGATATCAAAAGTAACAAGAGCAAAATTACATATTATACATGCCTGTTTAGGATGCCCACTAGCTGTCTAGAGTGGAAAAACCATGTAGAAGTCAGAAGTATGTTAGTTAGTGTGAATAAGAGCTGCATACAACATCAGTGACAGCACAAATACATCAGAGAAGGATAGAGAATGCATCAGAGGTTTTATTGCAAAATATCTACTATATGTTGTACAAAATGCATCTCGAACTGTTTCTAGGATCACTGTTCAGGGAATTAGGATCCATGCAGAACAAGAGAGATGGAATGACATTATGCACACAACAGTTGGGAATTCCAATGGCCACACTTCAGTGCAAGTAAGCAAGGGGCAAACAAGATTCCTTTTGGCAACTTTTACATTTTTCAAGCAATTTGAATTCTGTCAGAAAAAGTTTCCCTGTGAAGAAATTTTGTTGATGAGTCTTCACATTCTTTCTGTGATGCTCAAGTCAATGACTACTTGATGACAAATGGTGCTGTTTTTGAGTTGTCTTTCAAATGACCTTGGGATCGTGTGGGAGGGCACTGGAGGCGGCCATGTTGTTCTGAAGCATGCACAAGGAAACATTACAACAACAGACAGGCACAGAGGAGGAGACATGCACAAATATGGGACAGGAACAGACAACAAGAGCAGAAAAATGGAGGATAGTTACAAGCAGAGCAGCAGCCGGCCCCTTGAACATGTCAGGTGGCAAGCAGCCTACGCTCCAAGTCTTGTTTCCTGAGTTACGGGACTGCCGCGCCGGCCGGGGTGGGAGGGGGGCGGTTGTGTTGTGGTGGTGAGACAGAAGGGGGAGGGGGGAACAGAGGGTTGGGATTGATCAGACAAGATGCAAGAAAAAATTGAAAAGGACAGAAAAAAAAGTCGGACTCCACATTTGAACAGAAAAGATCAAACACAAATGGAATCGACAGGAAAAAAATGCAGAAGCAGAATGGCAGGTCGACAGAGAAGAGTGGGGAGGGGGGCACAGAGAACACACACTGGACTCAGTCTGTGGGATGTTGTTACACTTCAAATCTGACTTTCAAATAATAATCCTTAGTATCAGATCCATTTTTCTTGATGGAAATCGCTGCAAGATCTTTTCTGTCCAGCCCTACGGATGGACCTGCAGCAAAAGCTCCCCCTACCTCCTTCATAAGTAGTGCAGCCGAGGGTCTGAGGGGGGGTGCGGGTCTGAGACAGCTGAGCGTCCAGGGCCCGGGTTGTCTGGGGGGCGGCTCCAGCTTCTGCATCTTGACGCTGGCAGGGGGCGGGGAGGTGGGCTTCAACCGGCTCACGTCAGGCTGTTTGGCAGGGGGAACCTGGAGGAGAAAACAAGTAGTCGATGTGTCATATTTTCTGTAAATAATTTCATCGGGTTGGTAAATGATTACTATTCGTTACTTCAAGTTCTTTTATATAAGTATATATAAGTTTCATAACTGTCTGTCATCTTCATCAGGGCTAATTTGGCTGGTTTAGTATGACTGTCATGCCAAGCTCCAGTGTACAGGGAAACAGTCATATCAGCCTTGATGAAGATGACCGATGGTCCTCAAAATGTTGGCTCATGTATGACAAATGATTGTGAATAAAAGAACTTGACTAGCGTATCATTTTTGGCTCATATTTATTATGGAAAACAGTCAATTTCGGTTACCAAAACATACAAAACACATGTATTACACACACATCAATAAATGACTTACATTGTATATCAAGACAGAAGTAGGATGGTGTGTAGTGAGACATTAAGATAAAAGCCGGTGTCAAGAAATACAACAGAGCATGAGACATTAAGAGGACATGTTTCGAGACATAAGTGAAGAGAGAAGTACGTCTGTAGCACCGTACCTTCCCTGAAGGTGGCATTGACGTCTCATGAATGTACAGGACAGTGTCCTGCAGGGTGTTAGACAACACACAGGTCCGTAACGAAAGGTGAGGAAAGACAGGAAAGACAGAAAAGTCGAGGAGAAATGGGGTGGAAAAGGACAGTCAACAAGAGAAAGCCATATGAAGTTAAAAGTCCTACTTGTAGATGGAAGTAAATGTATTATTACATGTATTGCCTGATTGCTATTGTTCTCATTACCTGTCATGTCATCCATTGAGGAAGACCAGAATGACTGATCAAAATCTCTAGGTGCTATAGGTGAGAAAAATTCTTTGTGTTGGAACAAAAGTTTTAACTTTAAACATGTCCTCATTATCTAGCTGGATGTTGAACCATAGTTTCAGTGAACATTCGCTACATGTAGGTGACAATGAATGTTTCACCACATTCATTGGGAATTTGGTATCTGACAGAAGTTTGAGCTTTAGATCGTATCCCACCGGAATTTTTTTACTGTCATCCACCTTGAATGCAGGTGGGACTTGAAGTAGAATCAGAGTTTTAGTAAACATTTGATAGCTGACAATGAATGTTTCACCACCTTTGTAGAGAACATGATATCCCACAGAAGTTTGAGCTTTAGATCGTATCCCATTGGAGTTTTTTTACCTTGATTGCAGGTGGGACTTGATGTCTCTGTAATGTAGAGGTGGGTGTTCTACTGCTGGCAGGGACGGGGGGCGGTTTACTGGTCACGGGGGTGACGGGGGAGATCTTTGTCTGTTGCTGCAGCAGAGTCGCCCATTCTGCCTGCTCACGGGTCGAGTTGGTCGTCACCACTATTCTCTCTATCAAACTCCCTGGGGAGAAAATCAAGGAAACAGTTTGGAATTGTACAACAAAAACTTCCAATAAGGCCACTCTGACTTAATTTTATGGATGACATCCGTGCGCACATTGATTTTCGCCTGTTTTCAGAAAAAAAAATCACGTCATTCGAGGCTCTGGCCTGCCTCTAGGCCTGGGTAGTCCATGGTAGCTTGCTATATAGCGACAATACGGAGGTGGTAACTCTGGAGGATGGCATCCAGGCTACCGAAGCCCCACGACTCAAGAACTCATACACACAGTGTCGATTCATAAATTCCGCAAAAAGCCAGCATGTGCCATGTGTCGTATATGTCGCTATATTCTGCCGCAAATTCACAATACCAGCTTTGCCTTTGTATTCCTGTGGTTTAGTAGCAATTTCACTTTTGGCCGGATTTTTATTTCATTCGCCCGCGCGCACTAGTTTGGGGGTCTTCAGAGGATGTCATCCATAAAATTAAGTCGGTGTGGCCTAACAAAGAGAACTGAAAGAATACAGATTCTGAAGTAAGAATAGTCAGCGCTAGTACATTGTATTACATCAACATACTAATGATCATGATAATATTAATAACAACAGTAGAAAAACATGCAGGGGTGGGGGGGGGGTGTAAAGAAACCTATCTGTTTTTCTAGGCCACCCTTATAATATATAACTTGAAATATGAGAACGTTGGCATTGTAGATTTACTTACATTAAGCAAACAAAAGTAAATATTGTAAGTACAGCAAGAGCTTTATACCAAATGGAGGGTTCATACAATGTAGTTACACAAGGTTAATAATTTGTAACCATACATACATTAACTTCAGCCAACATTAAGTACACAACATTCCAGCTTTGATCCAGCTATCAGACATATTTTCACCTATGTGAGCTGTGAACAATGTATATTCATGCCACATTGTGCCCAATATAACTGACTCCTTTTAGTATTATTCAAGTGATTGTAAATGTTACAAGACAAGACTTACCTGAAATCTCAAAAGCATTCTTTATGTTATCTACGTCTTCTAATCTGGAAATATTCAAGCCAGACAAGGCAAGCTTTCCCTGGAAAAGAGGAGAGAAAAAGACTCAAATCAACACCTTCAGAATCCCTACATTCTGAGTATCTACTGGTGTGACTAACTATGATTTCAAGCATATGTAAACCCAGAAATTTTGCCTGTGTTTCCATGTCTTTGCACATCCATACCATACAAACATACGTACATGTATCAGCAGAACTACAAGTACTTCCTAACTTGCAACACTAACTTGTGAACATGTAACATACAAAAGGCAAAGAACAGACAACAGTAGGACATAACACAAGTCAGGATTGCCCTTGTTCATGTTCACCTTCAGTTAGCAGGGTCTGGTTTCAAATACCTTGGGATTGTGCCAACATGCCGCAGCCAGACACAAACAGGGGTGGTGGTAAATAATTAATAGAATTAAGAAAAGATTAGGAAACGCAGCCAACAAGGCTCCGGGGCAGAGACAGAACCATCATTCTAACATGTTTCTTTCAGTAACTCTAAAGTGAATGGAAGTATGTAAGTCAAGGTTCTGATAGAGGAAGTGACCAATATAGGACAAAGGTCGATGGTTTACCCGAAGTCGCGAGGAAGTGGTAGTGCTACAGCAAAAACGTGACCGTTACACGTTACATCCTGCTCGTACCAGTCTGCGCTAACTAACAGTAACACGCACGGCCACAACACAACACAACGGCCACCGCCCTACACCTCACTACAAAGCCGACTATCCCCGTACAATACAAACAAACAACCAAACAGTCGCGCACAAAACAAGAGCGGCTTTGGCTGGGAGGGTTTCAAAAGGCATGGCTTATCAACCCGCTGGGTTTGACGTGTTCTGTGACCTCTGGTGACCTTGAGAACAATGGAACACCGACTGGCACCTCAGTTTTCGCACCCTTTATTGGCTTTGGAATTCAAATGTTGTTACGGCGCTGAAAGAAGGCGTAGTCCTATTGGACAAACCATTACAGAGGAGAGGTGGTTTCTAACAGTAAAAGGATTTTTTAGGGCTCTGTCAATGATTGGCTATGATATATAAATAAATGCCCCAATTAAAGATAGTATGTCAAGGATATACCCAATAACATGCTCCATTTAACATAAATAAAAGCTACAATGTTGTACATTACCATACATTGTACAAGCTTTGTCTACTTTTAAAGGCAGTATTCAAAAGCTTTCAGTCTACTATACTTTAAAATGCAAAATTCAGGAGAATACATACTGATTTTCTCTTCCGTCTCATCACAACACAGCACATTTGTCTAACAGTATCCAGTACAATGACTGGACCAAACACTGAACTTCCAATTGGCAAGTCATCTTACTACCAAATATGGATGTTCTAGAGTTTGAGTTAATGACTGACTTTTGTCAGTGACAGACATGGAACAGTCTCACTCACTTCCTCCTACCAAACAAGGAACTGTAAATATCATCTACGTAGTTATGATTCAGGGTTATTTCATTAATAGTTGTAGGGGTGAAAATTTTTTTGATTAAAAAAATTCACATTCTGATCTTTCCACATGAAAAAAAATACCACTGATTTCTATTTCTTCAAACTAACCCACCAAATAAAGGGTATACATTAGAAAATGTCAATGCATAACAATGACCATATACACAGGTACTGTCAATAATATACAAGCATTTGAAGTGCCCTAGGCCATGCCTGGAAATGTGCCAAATTACAATGTATGTTCACTATGTGTTATTTTCCTTGTTACACCTCACTGGTTTGCAGTCAAGTCTACCTGCACTGAGCAAGCAAAACAATAGCATGACTATATGGGGCTTGCTAAGAGCCGTGGATTTGAAAAGAGACATGTTCAATGCCATGGACAGGCAAGTCAACCCTTGAAAGCTTAGTACATAGACCCTAATTTTCTCTTAATCTGATTATGTTTACCAGATACTAATCAATGCATTTAAAAGCAGTTAAAAGCCTGTATAACCTGTCCAAACTTGATTACTAACTGGGCCAAAGTGTGCTACTTGACACTTAAAACCTATCAATTAGGGTCATACACATTTTGACCTGTCTAATTCTGCCTTTAACTATGTAAAACCCAGAGTGGCGTTTGACAGTATTTTGTTGACTTATTCAACAATGTGTCTACTTTATACCTTACTTTTAGGTACTAAGTTAATGCAAATACCTGTTATGATACTAAGTATCAGCCCAGACTTACCATTTACTCTTAATCCTACAAATTCTAACAGAACCTGTAATCTGTACCTTCTACAAATCCCCGTCTTCAACATATTTTGTTGACTTGTCTACTAGTACCTAAATTCTAAGTACCAGCGTGCAAAATACCTGGTTGCCCAGTTGCCCCGGGCAACCAAATTTTACTTGGGGCAACCTATTTTTGAACCTAGGTAGCCCAGTGTGCTAACTGAATTTTAAGAACCCCTCCAAATCATGCCCGCTTGGCTTGCACCACTGTATCCGGCAGATGCTTTTTAATTTTAGGTATTAATGGTTATTACTAGTATCAGTTAACTAAAAGGCTGTTAGAAATATTGTCAAAGGCAAAGGTATGTAACATTACATAATTTAAGAAAGGTAGTAACTTAGAGGTTGGGCAACCTAAAATTCTGATGGGTAACCTAATTTTTGTCGTAGCTTGCCCACTGGGCAACCTGTGTTTTTTTTTAAACCAATTTGAACGTCATTTTTCCCCGAATCCCCAGACGTGCTTGCATCAAGTGTAAGACTTTTTTTTAAGCAAGATTTTTACGACTAGATGCCAAACGCCAACCCAAACCCTACTAGGGGCCAGGATTCCTCTAACTGAGGGGGAAATACATGTAAAGTGCCTTTCCCAAGGGCACAACGTCTGGGTCCAACCCTGGGGATTGAACCTGGGTCTTCTTCAGTCGACAGTCTCTATCCACTACACCACACAGACGCCACACATTTTGTACACTGTATTTGTACACCTGTACTAAGCGATGTTCTTACCTCATATATGAAGCCACTCATGCGAGGACTGATAGATAACATCAGCAGGACTCCAGGGAACAGCAGGAAGTAACGCTCCTTCTTCTCCTGAAAACAAAACAAGAATTTCTGTCAATCCCTAGAAATACATACATATGCTCTGAGCTCTTTTTCTACAGAAAATAACAGAACACATAGGATGTGTACTGACCCTCTAATACATACGGTGATTCATCAGCTTAGTAGCGTGCGTAGTCCAGTGGTTAGCGATCCTGCCTCTGGACTAAGACGTTGGGAGTTCGAATCCCGACTGTTGTAACTCACCCGACATGCACGCTACTGTTTAGGATGGCAGTCCTTAGGACGGGACATTAAGCCATGGTCCACTGTTCATTGTGCTTGTCGAGAAGAGCTAAGGGAATTTCCCCGGTACAATGTACCTGTAAATACTGTACATAACGTCTGTCTTCTCTGTCACGACCAGTGGAAGATTAGCTCTTCAGTGAGCTAAAACTGGTTCGAGATCACTATCTATCTTCGTGATGTTAGCATTCTTTTTTATATGAAAAAATGTTGGGGTCTTTGTTAAAGGAATAGAGGGGGGTTTCTCTGACAATGACATAATTTGTTATGTTCAAAATGAACCAACTGTTCCGGTTTCGCACAAAGGTAACAATTTGCGACTTAAAACCCACACCCAGGGCAAATTTAAAATTGCCAGGGGGGCAGAACCTTGATTCAAAATAGAACACAAAATGTCTGACTACGTTCACATAATGTGTCAACTCCAGGACATACATGTATGCTTCAATAGTCTGCGGTTGCACTGACCCAAACATGACAAAACTGTGTACAAGCTGGGAGCTCACTACAGTATGATATCAAACTTCAGTGCAAGATAGTGTGTTATGCCGAGGGGCAGTTATTCCAGCAAGTAGGATTTGGCCAAGTAACATACATTTCTACATCATTGTGTATCCCACACGCTTTCCTAAAAAGCAATGCATGATGTACAAAATGACTAATTAACTGGTGGACGTCCCAACTACTAAGTACCTAATACCAGCCCAGAAGAGAACACGAAAAAGCCATGCCTTCAAGTACCAGGGTTATCAACCAAGGATTGAGGTGTTCAAGAATTAATTCTTTCCTAGAAGTATCGCAGTGTGGAACTCGCTGTCACCAAGTACAGTAGGGCATTGTCATTAGATAGCTTTAAACAATGTCTAGAGTTAGAAGTTCAAGGGTAGTTTGGTGTAATATAGCCAGCTGCCGCCACGCCGCGTGCCTGCAAAGCTGGTGCGTTACGCCGAAAGGCGGTTATACCGGCTATACAGATACAGACAGAATGCACAGACACACAAACCCTAAGGGACCAACATGATGATGAACCCTAGGGGGCCTACATGTATGCTGGTGAGAAAGACATAAAGGAGACAGACATAAACCAGTCTTACCTCATCCCCAGTGTGAACAGTCACCATGGACATGAGGATGACCTCGCCCAGTTGGGAGATCTCCTCCCCCTCCCAACCTTTGATTTCACTGTTCATGATCTCAAACTCTATCTCCTTCTGCTTTCTCGTCTCCAAACACTCGTTCTGAAAAAGAAATTACAACAACATAAGTTATTAAATTATGTCATCAAGTACAGTAGAGGCATGGTCATTAGATAGCTTTAAACAATGTCTAGAGTTAGATGTTCAAGGGTTAGGTATAACAAGTCGATCGGTGTAATGTAGCCAGCTGCCGCCGCGCTGCGTGCCTGCGAAGCTGGTGAGTTACGCCGAAAGGCGGCAATACAGATACAGATATAGGTGTCGTGATAACTTGATACTTTTGCCATGACCTGAATTTCTTTATAAAAAATGAATGAATAAATTCTGGGAAAAATGAAAACATAACAGTTACTAAAAAGTTGTCTTCACAACTTAAACTTGAGTCATGGTCTGAATTAAACTTGAGTCATGGTCTGAATTCCTTGAAAAAGGAGGGAATACATTGTCATGTTTTCTGAACAGAAGTCACAGTTAACTTTGGTACAATATTAAAAATTAACATTGCCCAAAGACAATAATCTATAACTACACTTTTTCCATTTAATATACATGTGCGCATATGGTGTACAATCTATACACAACATTAGAACTAAGCACACCATTTTTTTACCTTAATCTCGTGACTATCTTCTTGTCCACTCCCATCCTCAACATCATCTGCCGACATTTTTCCTTGTACAATACTTCAATCAAGCTACTTTCACAATGCTAAAGATGCTCCCTTTGCTTTGGCAACGTCGACTTCTTGGGTCAAAGTCCCCAACTCTAGAACTGACATGTGTTTTTGTAGCATGTGGTGGGAGAGAAGGGCGTGGTGCATTTGTTTTACACACCTGTGTATATATATTGTCAATTGTTATCCTCACCATTATTACATGCGTGTATGAGGGGAACACTTGTAAGCTTTAAGGTTGATTAAGTATTGTGACATCTGGATATTTCTCAGGTTATTACTACTCTTCATTTGTAGGCATTGTTAGTTGGGATTTGGTAGGGGATTTGGTTTTACTATGTTGTGGGCAATTAATCAACAAAAGAGTAAATTGGTAATTAGTCATGTACAAGAATAAGGCTTTTTATTCTCAATACAAGATTCAATTTACTAGATTTTTTAACTGCCAAAGCAGATGTCACATGACTCTTTAGTACAGTGATTTGTGCAAAATGACCATTATGAGCAAATATGGCAACAAATATATTATTTAAAACTATGTAAATAGATTCAGGTACACAAGTTCTCATGATTATTCTTTTAAAATGTACACAAACCCAATGAGTTGCTTTTCAAATTTGGTGCTCGCTTGAAAGAGCATTTTTAGATTTTATTTGTCTTTTTTGTTAGGTGCTCAAAATGACACCGATCGTTATGGCCTTCCAAACATTAGCATTTTTGGTCAGTTTATCTGTGCTTATCTTTTTTTACTGGCCAACTGGATCCCATTAGCTAATACCACAGTGTGATAGCCCACATCTTCACCTTTACATCGATACCAAAGTCCCCTGGTTAGTTTTAGGACAAACGGGTTTGCCCCAAAGAAAATCGCGACGGTGCACACATCGCGGTGACGAAATTTTGGCCCAGTTGTAGCTACCGGCGCATACCATTCTGAGTTTCCGCAACATTTTGATACATTTAGCGTAATGTCATAAACTTCGTTCCTTAATATGAGAAACTGTATGAATGTGGTTACCACATGCAATATGATAAGTGACATGATAACTTTCAAGTATATACAAAAAGAGGATTTTAGATTAGGTACTGACCCTTCAAAAATTGGCAAATTTGAAGTCAATCGGCTTCGAACTCCAGCGTTCGAAAGCGTTCGAACCATGGAACCCAGACACGCGCCGGAAGTTGCCGAAGATTTCCGAACAAAAACCGTTGTTTGTTTACATTCTATTTATTGTGGCACACATAAATACGTCTGGCCTTGCGCAACTTATTCTCGCGCTGCTCTGAGTTGCCGAAAAGGCGAAATAGCGACGCTGATACGTTGAAAGTTATCGAAAATGACAATCTACATGAGAAAATTTCAATTATTTGTATTTTCAGTTTTGGCGCGAAAATCCTACATAATATCACTTTAAATGTTGTCTTTTTGTTAGATGCTTGGAAATTTACTCTTCTGAACAAAATATTTGCCATTCTGAGACATTTTTATTTTTTTTTACACATACAGTTTTTACAATTTTTCTACATTTCCAGTTCAAAAGTCTCAGGGCTTGTTTTCTTGACTATTATTGTGAACTTTTACTTTACTATCCACATAATCTGAGTATGCCCCAGACTTACCGCAATATTCTTGTAGACTGGTATGGCCTGTTGTACATCGTATCTGTCGGGATGGCCCTCCTGTAAAGAAGAAAAACACAACTTCCTGAAAATTCTTTTACTTTCATGGTGGTTTTATTTTATGAAAATGATGGTTTTACAGTGTCTTAAATTTGTGGTTGAAACAGATCTATAGTATAGTAGTCAGGCAAGGGAGAAGCATTGAAGTGTCAACTGTCTTATATATGTATTGGAAGCCAACAAAACATGTGTATTACCAGAAGTAGTGATGACCTAACACACTGTACCTGGCTGTCAATCAAAATTAGCCAAAAGTTTAACCAACCAATGAGACAAGAAATGCACTGGTTAAGTCTTTGTATTTCTATGCCTTTGCTGCACATTGGTACATGTAGGTTTTTTAATTAATGATATGGGCAGGGCTATTGTCCTAAACACATGTATAGAACATCAGAAACATAAAGTTAAAAATAATCCTGCTTTAAATACTGGGATTCAAACCCTGGACCACGAGTACACTAAAGAAGTTGAACTCATGAAATTGTCCAGCACCCTGCTAAGAGCAATGTTGACAGGTGTTTGAACTATGTCCCCTGACCTAGTTCTGTCAAGAACGACCTTGGTCCTTTGGCCATGTACACCAATCAGATTCCACTGTTCAAACAATTCAAACAGGTTCCAAAAGTTCTTTCCTATCCCTCAAAAGCACTCAAAATCATTATACAAAAATGAAACAATCATTGATTGAGGGGATGAAAATCCTTTTACAGAAACTGTTTGAAAGGAAGTTACAGAAAAATGTGTCTACTGGTACTTGTCAAATTCTTCATGGAAGACCTCAGAACATTCCATTGCCCAGGTCAGCCATTGTCGTGAATGCAATGTTCAAATAACACATTCCTTTATATTGTGTATATTATAAACCATCCTTACTTATTCATTATCTTTTGGTTAGTATTGTACAGTCTGTGATGAACCATTGTGAAGTTTCTGGCATTGAAGCATTCATAAATCAATCTTGATTTTTTTTTTATACCTAACAACATAACCTTCCAGAAACACTTGAAACAAAATCAGTTTAGCAAATATTACCTGCGTTCTTTGTTCTAAGGAACAGTAAAGCACAACAACTTAGTATTCAAACTTGTGAAAGTTGCTAAAAAAAATACAGGCTCCTTGAAATCTAGAGATGACTACAACAAACTAAACATCTATCAAACAGGCTTGACAAAAAAAAAAAGATGCGTGATCATATACATGTATAATGAAGCTTGCTACTCAAAAAGAATTGGAAAGGGGACGGAGTAAGAAGTCTCCTTTCTTACTTCAATACTGATGGAGCCATCCCAAATATCGGACATGTTCCTTCTACGATGCAGCAACCTCTGACAGCGACAACAAAACATTCGCACTGGCCGCGGGACCACCGCTACTCTCCCCGGTCACTTCACTTCAAACCACATGTTACGGACCTTTTGAACTTTCATTGACCAGCCCTCTCAAGGAAGGGGGTCGCTTCAGAAGTGCCAGTTTTCTTGGTCAACAATATTTGTTTCTTTGAAACTGATTATGTAACATGTATCAGTAAGCTTGACAAGCTTGCACTCAGCAACTCTCATCAACAGATAGGTTGCAAATCTAACCAAAGTGTTACAATTTAATAAATTCTACTGAAGTTTGACATACCAGAAAAAACATATCGCTTTGGGAGTAAGAAGTACTTTTGACATGCCCCAATGTAAACAGGCCGGCAGGTTGTTGGAGATTAAACAACAGACTGACCAAGAACAAACATCACACCTGTAGGCCCCGTAATTACCCTGGTAACATCTGCTCAATGTTTAACCTTCTTTAGACCAAGGGAGAACCTTCTGAAGTTCTGGCACTACTTTTCTATTGGTTGCAGGATTGAGCAGAAGTCAAGAGACTAACCACATTTTTCAATATCATACATTTGTACCAGTACAATGCGTTTTTACCTCCGGGTAGGGATGTACATCCCGAGCGCGGAGGTTTTGTGAGGGAAGACGAAAATTGCGTTCGCACCCGTTTCTCGCGTTTGGGTGGACGGATATGTCTGGGAGTTGGTATACGTTTTGCTGTTGGGCTGTAGATGGTGCACGTTGTTTTGGTTTTTTAGTATGTGTGTTTTAGTGCGTCAAAATGATGCGTTTAGACCGCCGATGGACACCCCTTTCAGTGTGAAAGTGGACCTCAGCTTTTGACCTTTGCATGTATAAGGACGATTGAGGTCGCGACCACTGATCTGACCTTTCACACAGAGGGGTGTCAGCATTGTCGATAAATTCTTTCTTTGAAACTGTTCAGATGTGAACCACATGTGCCGTCAATCAACGTCTCATTATCGTGCCCGTGCCGGAAACTGCCGGCCGTGTCTGAAACAGGGCTGCTATTCACACTGATATCTAAACAAACACATGGCAGCACGACCTGAATATATCACCGCCACTTGTGCTAACCGTGGCAAATATGTCGCTGTTCTTAGCTGCCTGCCGCGGTTTGGTACCGGTTAAATCTAACAGGAATCAATGAAACCTTGCTGATAAGATTGCGATTTGTTTTCGAAAATATTATTTTGTCTCGTGTTTGTAACGTTCGCTCAAAATGAGGTTCTAAGTTTTAACCGTAACATGAAAGATATGAACACGCTTCTGTGCATGTTTTGATGGGTTTTTTTTACGTGATTTGAACTAGTGTGGGATAAGTGGGGAGGGATGGCAGCCGCGGGGGGAAGCGTAGCGGCTTGATACATTTTCGAGAGCAAGTTCCGTTCCGCGCACTGGAGTTGATCGCTGGTCGCTGAGGGTCGGGCAGCCAGATTCGCCACGGGATGCCCCCTGTCCTTTCTATTTTTGGGCTCCAGTCGGCTAGGGGGGATTAGTGATTTCACAGATCATTTAGCCAATTACAAACATTTCGAAACTTTTCGAAAAACTAAAACTGAAACTGTTTTTTTATTCACATTGATTGGCAGCCAATATTCATTGCTTGGCTGAATTGCACAAGTGATTACATGTTAAAATAGCTTGAAAAGAGATACACATTAAAAAGCACAACATTGACGATTAAAATTAAATAGATTTAAAATTTTGTAGCTCAGGTCCATTAAAACAGAGGCGGACTATTTACAAATCTTGATTGCTGAGGCTTATTGCCTGAAACAGAAAAGGTTTCCTCAGTCTTTCAGTTCTGAACTTCGGAACGGAGATGTGGTTTCCATTTCTCAGGGACCGCCGTGTGCTCTGGTGTCTGTCGCAGGGCATCAAAGAATGCAAAGTGTGGCTGACATGCCGCATTTGCTTGAGCAGAGTTTTTGCTGCAGTTTCCCGTCTGTCCTGGAGGGTGGAGAAGGGGGTTGTTTGAGTACTGTTGCCGTAGGATTCTCGCCGCCCTTCTCTGTACAGCCTCAAGAGTGTTGTTCTGTTTTGTGTTACAGCCCACGTACACGACATTTGCATACTCTAACACAGGTCGTATCAGAGTCGTATACACAGTTTCCAGGTCCTCTGGTGGCATCCCGCCCTTCTTGAGCATGCGGAGAAAGTGAAGACGGGTTGAGCCTTTCTTTGCCATGTGTAAGATTTGGCTGTCCCACCCAAGGCTGCGGTGACGTTTGAAGCCCAGATACGTGGCACATTCAACAACCGGGACTTCTTTGCCTCCAAGTGTGAGAGGAGGTGGAACAGGTGGATTTTTTGAAAAGCACAGTCTCAACTCATAGGACTTATCCCCGTTCATAATCATATTGTTCTTGTTCGCACAGGTGTCAAGTTGCGTAGCTTCCTCTTGCATAGTTGTGTCACGTGGTATTCGCGTGAACACACACACACCCAGACACCATTCACTAATTTAAAGAACAGTCCCAACATGCACCCAACATTCTGCAACATACATTACAATACCCGGAGGTACAAAATCTACGATTTTCCTTGTTACATCTGCTAAAATTTTAACCTTCTTCAGACCAAGGGGGCCTTCTGAAGTTCTGGCACTACTTTTCTATTGGTTGCAGGGTTGAGCAGCAGAGACAAACCACAGTGATTTTTGTCACTATCATACCTGTACAATGTGTTTTTACATCTGCTCAATGTTTAACCTTCTTCAGACCAAGGGGGCCTTCTGAAGTTCTGGCACTACTTTTCTATTGGTTGCAGGTCTGAGCAGCAGAGATGCACCACAGACATGATTCTTTTTCACTATCATACCTGTACAATGTGTTTTTACATCTGCTCAAATTTTAACCTTCTTCAGACCAAGGGAGCCTTCTGGCACTGTGTTTCTATTGGCTCTGGGGTTGCGCAGCAGATGGGTGGTTAACTTCCCTAGAAAAGTGACTTTTTTCTATAATCATACCTACATTCTACCTGTATAAGATATGTTTTTACGACTCCAAACGACCTTATTTTTAGACTAGTGGTATCACTGTAAGTGTAACTAAGTGGTATTTTGAAACATAACCTTTTTGTAGTATGCTGTTTTAATGATGACTTCTTTTCTTGGCTTTTCAAATACACGGGTATAGAGTTTTCAATAAGAAACACCCAACAAGATAAAAGAAAATGTCACCATGTTTTTTTTGTTTATAATCCTTCCATTATTACCAACACTAAAACAAATCACAGAAGGCTAAGTAGATGTTCACACTAGTTGTAATGTGTTTCTAATAAGATTAGCACACTGATATCATTACTTTCTGTCCTTGATCTATTCTGGTGCCACTCTGATATGTTATTTTGGCCTTGTGAGAAAACAGATCAATGCAAATGATACTTTGCACACACATTTGAGAAACAAGTAATCTGTTTTTCAGCCTTGAGTTGGGACAAGAAAAACATTGTAAATTATACTTACACTCTACATATGTTCGGAAACTGTTCCAATCTTTTGATTTTACTATCCTTTGATTTATGATTCTAGAGTTTTTGCTTTGTGAATATTCAAACCGCAGAAAATTCCTTTTACTTATGCTCATAATGTTTATAAGTTCATAATGCAATAGAAGACTTTTATAACGCACTTTTCAAGTAAAACTAGAACTAAGAGTCTAGAGTTTCCTTAATAATTTATGATATTTAGTTTGTGTTTTGTGTGAAGATTGAAACTACAGAAATTTTCTGTTAAACATCAAGTCCATAACATAATGTATTTCACTACTATTAGAAGACATTAAGTACCAAGCACTTACAAGTAAAACTATAACTTAGAGTATAATACACAGATGTTAAGAAAGTCCAGTCTACCTCGAGGTGTCTGTCCAGTTCCTTAAGGAGAGTGGGGTACTTGTCCAGTCTGCGGAAGGGCTGGCTCAGACCAGTGGTCAGTGTCATCAGGCCAGGACTGGGCGCTCCCTGGTTCTCCATGAATCTGTTCAGTTCCTCACTACAACAGCAGAAAAATACATCTTTAGTCCTTTTTTTGCATAGACAACTCTTTTCAGGATTCATTTGTATTACAATTTAGGTCTGCTTGGAAACCTTTCAATTACAATGGTAAAATCATGTTGGGAAATATTTTGTGTACAATCCTTGAGGCAAATATTGGCACTACTTTTTTAAATTGATATGGTAAAGTAATAATAACACAACCATAAACAATCTGTTCTCCATAACCAATATGACACATGTCTGTGTTTTTCTTCTGAATCAGTTGTCAGTAGCAACAACAGTACTGACTTTTGTGTTTAGATAAGTGAGAAGAGTCTAGTACTGTCTTGTGTTTAGGTAAGTACCGGTAGTACTGACAGTAAGATACGTGACAGTAGCACTGACATTGTATTTAGACAAGTGACAGTGGCACTACTGACTTGTTTCTAGATAAAACAGAGACAGCCTGGGAGTGGTTGGCACAGTAGCCCTGGTATAGTGCTACTGTACAACAAAAGTACTGAAGTGTGTTTAGACAAGTGACAATAGTACTGATTTGTGACTGTAGTACTGAATAGTGTTTAGACAAGGGACAATGGTACTGACTTGTTTCTAGATAAAACAGAGACAGCCTTGGGGTGGTTGGCACAGTAGCCCTGGTACAGCGCTCTCATCTGACCTGCAACCTTCAGAAAACATCCTCCTACTCTCTGCTGAGGGCCTGGAAGCCTGGAGGGGGCACAAACAGACAAGAATAAAATTTCTTTACACAATAGATCACCTTCTTAGAAATGTACATTGCATGAGAGTTTATAACACCATAATAAAAACACTGTTTGTACGGTTGAAAACTGTCTAGCACTAAAATTAATAACAGACATAAAAATCACAAACATTACAAAATTTGATGGCTGTCTCATTCAAAGAAAGTCAAAAGGGGAGGTCACAAAATTTCTTTATTGACATTATGATCTGTCTTCATGCAAGCATGCATCCAGCCATCTTGAGAAATGATGCGGGTACAATGTTATGGCTGTGGGCAGTTTTCTTGCATTTTTTGTAAAATGTTCTGCTGTAAATCATGAAACTTTTGCAGCAGTTTTATTTTGCATCAGGAAGGACATATTTGCAGTGTCATGAATTCATGGTGTAGAGGTCAACATAAAAACCAATAAAATAAACCCTCAACAAAATATTCACAATTAACAGTAATTATGCCCGAATTCTAATCTGACTAAATTTCTGAACATAGAGACAACCCTGCTGCCTTACTTTGCACAGTCCTCGAGGTTCTTGAGCAGGGCCTGCTGCATGTTGACTACATCCTCCAGGTTCCCACACAACATCATACACTCAGGGTTGGACAGGCTGGGGAACACAGCACACACAACACAGATTAGTCTTCTCATGGTTAGATAGTGCCAATAGAACTGAGATTGACTTCTAAATATTGTACTCATAGGAAAGAACTGATCATGTTATGTAAGGTCTGGTCACATTTGTCGTACCGTATTGTAGCAAACTAAAAGCATACTAGTACTTGGGATAGTCATCTGTATCTGTATCTGTATAGCCGGTATAACCGCCTTTCGGCGTAACACACCAGCTTCGCAGGCACGCGGCGCGGCGGCAGCTGGCTATATTACACCGATCGACTTGTTACACCTAACCCTTGAACTTCTAGCTCTAGACATTGTTTAAAGCTATCTATTGACAGTGCCCCTACTGTACTTGGTGACAGTGAGTTCCACTCTGCGATAGTTCTAGGAAAGAATGAATTCTTGAACACCTCAATCCTTGGTTGATAACTCTGGTACTTGAATGCGTGGCTATTTCGTCATGTATGTTTAAGATGAACAAAATTCAACTGTCTTGTTACCAGAAAGGCTATCTTAGACCGGAAAGCTTAGTCTTCTAATGGCTAAAGGCATTCAAAGCAATTTCAGGGTGGCAATAGAAAAAAATTCTGAATTTCTTAGCACATTTTCATCATCATTTCAAACTTGAAGTGCGAAAAATAGCCCCTAAAGATGCTGTGCGAGGTGTCTTTTTATTTTTTGTGTACCGCCCAACAGTTTTCCCTTGACCATTCAAAAGAAATACATGTATACACTGTAGCTTTATACAATATCCCATACGATTATACAATCAACGACACATGTAATTTGTATATAATGCTATGCTTACATTCCAGCATTTTGTAGTGGCTTTAAGTATGTGACCAGGAAAGTGTGCATCTCATCAGTATGAGCCTTCTCTGTCTCCAGGATGTTCTGTAGAACCTGCAAAAAACAAAGACAAGTTTAAACTACTGGTTCTTCCCTTGAAACTTAATCTACTCTTTACACACAAGCCTTCAGAGAAGCCAAGTGACAAGTCTCACTGGAGTGACTGGTCAAAAGCTCTAGGTGAGAACCATTCTTTGTGTTGGAACAAACATTTAAAACTTTAACACACAAGCCTTGTTACTTGTGGTCCTGGTCTTTCTGATGTACTTTCTTTCTTGTCTGTTGTTCTATTACTAAATTGTATGAAAAATATCTTTTTAGGCCACACCAATTTAATTTGTTGGTTCTCGGATTCGTCTCTTCGTTTTTTTCTGATTTGCAAAAAAAAAAAAATTGATTCTGGTCCTGAATCAACTGAAAAATGCTCATATTTTGCCCCCCAACAGCTGAGGAAAGTCCTTAGTTCCTAGTTGTTACAGTTTTCCCATCTATCATTGCAGTGGTTTGATTAAAAGTTCAAAATTCAATGTTTAAATTTTAACCCAGCCTTTTGTGTTGACTTCATGGCTCATTTTGTAGCATTTAAGCCTATAATAGGATGCCTAGACCTGTTTTTATTTTTATTTTTTTTCGCCCTGTCGCTTCATATTTTTTCTGAAAAAATCCGAGAACCAACAAATAAAATTGGTGTGGCCTTAGTAGAAGAAAAAAATGCTGTAGTTGTGGACAAACTTACCAAGTTGTGGTACATCCTGGCACTTTCTGCAGTCTTGGCTGGCACAGTGATCTGCTCTGCAGTTCTGCCCGTACCTGCTGGGGGGCTCTTTGGTGTGGGGGACAGTGGTCCAACATCAACTGGTGGAGACAAAGTATAATAATATAAATTTACAATGCTTTATACATTGTACTTACAAACAATAAACAAGCTTTTGGAAGAAATGTGACATATTGCCAGCAGCTTTACTGACTGTTAGCCAGTAGTAGCCATTGTTTTCTACTTTTCTTTAGAAATGTATGTTTTAATGTATTCGAATCCAAGACGATTGCTATCTTTTCAACTTGAAGGATATTTTTACAAACAAAAATGTCTTGCATTTGTCTTTACTAAAACATGCTATTCTTTGCTAATCTATGTGTGTGTGTGTGTGTGTCCCCTCTTTAGGAAAAATGTAAATATGCACTAGAACAATGTATGAAATATGACAGGAAATTCCTAAATGACAGCCAATTATAAGAAGTAGAAGAAAGGAAATTTATACTGAATCAGAATGTTAAGTGACCAAAAGTATGTCATTATCAACCTTTTAATCTGACATTTGTTAGTTCACTGTTATTAAATTCCATGCCAACGCAAACTTTTGTCTTACACTGATATGACATATAAAAGTTGGCAATGTTTGAGCAAACTTGGTGCTAACATCCCCTTTCCTTTTAAACGTTGGTGTGTTCTTATTGACTTTTAAACCATTCTTTTGCAACGTAAGTGGTACATGTAACAATACCTTACCCTCTTGAAGTATGGGATGAAAAACTTTGGTTTGTTACCTCCTTCATCCATAAACCTTCCAAAGCCCTGTCCTGACATTCTAACTAGTAACAGAATAATCCTGTCTTGTTGCTCCCATTTTGTAAAAACATTAAAAGACCATCCATACAATTAATATTCTACAGCCTTTGTAAGTCAAGGTCATCTAAGCATGCATTGTGCAAAGCATGCTGGGAAGGCATGGGGAGCCTTACTAAGTTTTTGCTGGTCCCCAGAACGTATCCTGACGTCACCGTGATGGGGAACTGTCATCATGGCAGCAGGGAGAGGAGAGAGAGGGAAGGAGAGAGCAGGAAAAGGAGGTTAATGTTGTAAAGTAGGCACAGCTACAAGTTTTAAAGAACTACCCTTAGCTAGCTAAAGCAACATGAGGAAAAATGTAGTATACCATAAGATACTTGCTACTGATAGGGTTCTACAATTATGTATGTATATATATCAGTCAGTCTCAGAAGACTATGACCAACTGCGCAGGTCAAACAGGAGGGCTCATTCCTATCTACATGTACAAGATAAATCAGATTTGAGCCTACAATTATACACACACACATACACACACACACACACAAAGCACACAAACACACACTCACACACACACACACACACACACACACACACACACACACACACACACTCACACACACACACACACACGGCTGCCTTTTTCATTTGGCAACTTTTACCAATAACTTACCAGAAAAGAAAGAGCTAACCCTATTATTCTGAATACTAATAATACATTTGAAAGGGGCATGGATCGATTAATGGCATATAGATGAATATAGATGACATACTTAACAACCATGATATTGCCAAATAAATTATTCATATGGAATATGAGTAAGACATTCCACTGGGACATTGGTCTAAATGAGGCCCTATGATGATACTCATCGACAAAATGCAGCAGTGCAGAAAAGAAGACTTCCAAGGTACTAGTCTGAAGTACAGTGTATCTGAACGTGTTTATTCTTTTCTTGCAACTCTCCACAAGAATACAAGTGGAGGGGGGGGGGCAATACAGGTGCATTAACTTTCAAGTTGCCCCAGTAAAATAATACTTCATACAAGTATATAAAAACAGGTAGAAGTGAACTTATACCGAAGACTCAGAGGTCCTAGAACAGACATTGACTAGAACAATGAGTACAAACTATATATTATTGAGGAGTGGTATGACTCTATGAGACTACATTGTATAAGCTAACATTTATGTGTCTTGTACTTACCAACCCCTGGGACATTTTTGACCTCCTTCACGTAGTTACTTGGGAACCAGCCCACACGTCCATTCAGTACACCTTCCCACCACCCTCCTTCAACAACCTGGACAGAGAGAGCACACTATACTACTCACACTTCACATGAACAAACATTAACAACCTGCCACATACTGAAATGGAATTTCATTCAATAATTGTGTTCTTAGGTAACATGTTCAAAGTTACACAACTGTCAGGTTGTAGGTCAGAGGTGAGTGAGTCATGTAATCAAAATGATTGACCAGATATAGCCACCACTAAAACTTGGATCAGCTGATAGTTACTGCAATAGTAATGCCCGCTTTTCTTGAATCACAGCTCCTGTTTACAAACTCTCAAAGCCACATCTGCAGTTCCAAAGAATAATGCTAATGCATCAGTAATATCATTACTTTTGTTTTGAAGCCTGGAAGTTATCTACAAAAATAGAATCTTTGATCATGTCACAGCCTGTTATATTTACTTATCAAACTTCTTGCCATGGGCTTATCTTAAAGAAGAGATTATATTATTTCTTCCCTCATGAACTGAATGAAATGCGGCCTACAGGCTAATTTGAGCTTCTCCGATGAATAAAGAATGTTTATTTGTTTGTTTGTTTCTTTGAACAAAAGAACTGACCTGTTACCTGTTCCGAATTGTTTATGTTCTTGTTGTGAGGGCTAGCCCTTTATAATAGCCTCCGGCTAGTTGGGCAGTCCTGGCTGTATGTATATGTCTTATACAGTCTAATAAATCAAATCAAATTAAACTGACCTGTGTTATGGTAATGATGTCGCCTTTCTTGAAGGACAGTTCATCCTCGTCCGTCCCCTGAAAGGCGTATCTCGCCTTCACGATCATCTGTCTTCCGTCTGCCATCTTCTGAAACAGAAAACCTTCCCGTTAACAACACCACTCGTGGCAATTAGCAGGGAATTTAATAATTCAACACTCTGGTCTTGTACTCAGTGGTAGCTTTTTCCTAGCCTCTACCAGGCCTTTCTATGGGCGTACAGATCCTAGAATTCGGTAAAAAAAGAGAGAAATAGTTGGCCAGGAGAGTCAGCTAACTGTGCGGTCAGTCAAACTCCAAGGCGGCCAAACTCCCTTGGCAAATATTCTAGAATGTATAGCCAGCGTAGTTAGTCTGGTAGGGACTAGCTTTTCTCTGGGCTCACACGGAGAATTCATCAACCACCAATTTTACCAAATAAGAATCGTCATAAACACACAAATGTTGAAAAAAAAACCCAAAGAGTCAGAGATTTTTTTATTTCTGAGAAGTATGTAATCCTCATTGATCAACTTCCTGAATTCCCCACATGCATTTGACCTTTCTTGCTGGGTTTTAGGTCAGACAATAAAATATTTGACCTCTTGTAATTCTGTCTGTCAATATCCCCCCCCCCCACCCAAGTGCTGTCAATTGTAACCTCTGTCTAGACAAACAGATACATAAACCCACAGCTCAACCAAACAACGCTTCTATAAGCAAACCACATGAAACCTAACAGCAACCTGGAATTTGCAGAATAAATCTGAGACTGCAGCAAGAGTTGAAATCTGTGATAGACAAAAAAAATTTTCCAACAATTTCCTCTCCTAGTCTTATGAATATGACATACCTTTTAACCTCCGACTAACCCCAAAACAGATGCAAACACTATTTGTATACCTCAGTTGTGAAGAGGCTATGACAGAAAACTGACAGACAAGTGCTTTTCCAAAGCCTTAATAACTGGACACTGTATCCTCTAAATGGTCCACCTGTCTTTTAGACAAACATACCCTGGGGTTAGGGGTCTATTTAAAGACATGAATCCCCAAAATATGTTTTATCAAAACATGTGCTTTACGAAATAGATATTACAAGGTTCATATTTCCTGCTATGCAAGTACATTACTACATATACAATACACGGAAAAACAGAATTCAGTTTGAAAATCTTTAAGAAAACTCAATCATGTTTGCATACCACCGAGATTCTTTTTAATCAAAATGTTTTACAATTGTACAGTAGAATTATACAAAAACAGAATTTTATTTCCGACGCTTTTGTAAACAGCATTGTTAAAACAGAAAAACAAAATATCTCTAACCAAATAAAACAACAATCACAGAACTACAGATAGACACAATGCTTGTGTCAAACTCATTAAGTTCGTAGCTTGTATTTCTTTAAGCACTGCCTGAGGCCTGTAACTTTAGTGTGAGCAAAATTCGGAATGTTCTGAAAAAGAGAAATGTTTGGAAGAGTCTCCTACATCATGAAATTGACCGAAACAATTCCATATAAATGGAGCTGGACCTACATGTACGTTCTGCATCACATGACTGCCCGCAGTGCCATTCCCGTTCGAATTCGCTTTCTGTCGAACCTGCGACTTCAACTGACGACATAAAACAGACAACCCCGCAATTACCCTACCGGTGACCCCGACAAGGGACCGCCGCAGACTCACGACGTTGTCCAGCAACATGGTCGTGATCTATCCCTCCTCGCGACCGAGAAATCATCGCGACGCAACTCTCACTTCCATGGCGAAGCTGCGGCCAAGCCCGTGTGCGTAGCAAGTTGGCAGAAGCTAGGGTTTTATTTTAAGGTCTCTGTATCGCGTGGTCTGTCGGTACCGGACCTGGGCCAGTCAAGACGCCACAACAATGTCCGATGCACAGATAGGCGACAATTGATAGCCGTTTACTCACCCCTTGTCGGCAGTCTGCAGGCATACCGAGGTCAGCACAAGCCCTGAGGCTTAGAAAGTTCACGTCTGTTTGCTATATATGGTTCTTCTCAAGTTACATGGCTATGACCTGTCATAACACAATGTAACAACATAGCCAAGGTATTCTTAATATCTGTGTCACTCAGCTCAAGTTTGCTACATAAAGTTTACATTAGGGAAGTGGTTTGCCAATATTGACAAATCTGGGCAAAGATGAATACAAGAAATTGTCAATCAACTCAGTGTTTACTGACGTTCCCTGTCCTGGTTTTGCCCGTACATTGTCATGTTTTTGTCCACTCCATGCCGTTTTTGCCTGTTCCCTGTCCCATTTTTGTCCTATCCCTGTCCTGTTTTTGCCCATTGCCTGTACTGTTTTTGTCCATTCCCTGTCCTGTTTTTGTCCAATCCCTGTCCTGTTTTTGACACATTTTCCTGTGATTTTTACACATTCCCTGTTTTTGCCTATTCCATGTCCTGTTTTAGCCCATTCCTTGACCTATTTTTCTCCCTTCCCTGCTCTGTTTTCTAGAAATCCCACCCTGTTTTTCTCTATTCCCTCTCCTGTTTTTCACCATTCCGCTGTCATGTTTTTCTCTGTCCTATTTTAATCTGTTCCCTGTCCTGTTTTTGTAAATTTCGTTTTTGCCTGTTGTCTTTCTCCGTTCCCTGTCCTGTTTTTGTCCATTCCTTGTCCTATTTTCGTCCGTCCCTGTCCTAGTTTTTATCCGTCCCAGTCCTATTTTCGTCTGTCCGGGACTGTCCCAGTCCTGTTTTTGCCCATTCCCTGTCCCATTTTTCTCCATTCCGTCCTGTTTTTGTCCATTCCGTCCTGACTTCCTCCATAGCCTGCCCCGTTTTTCCGTGTTCTTTCAGTGCCTTGTTTTGAATGGTTTTCCCCTCCCCCCGTCATGTTTTCGTCATGATTTTGCCATCTCCCTGACCTGTATTTACCGCTGCCCTGTCTTGTTCTCTGTCCTGTTTTTATCCATTTCCTGTCCTGCTTTTCTCCTGTTTTTGCCCGTTCTCTGTCCTGTTTTTCCAGCCCTGTGCGGGTCACCCCCAGTCAGGTGCACAAACCGGAAGTAAAAACCTGCCGCATTCCAACCTCTCCATATATGGCAAACAAAGGACTGCCACAGGAATTTTTCCACCCCCACCCCCCGATTCTGAACACCAATCTAGAAAACTAGCGACATCACACGGCAATATACAGCATGGATAATCTAGAACACGCCCTTTGTACGATTGCTGAGTCGTGATTATTGGGTTTGTCGTGAGAGGAACAGGAACAGAGGTTTTGTCCTGGCTAAGGGGAGGGGCGTTTATCCCAAAATGGCGGCCGACCCCGGCACACACAAACCAACACCCCGATATTTTGGGCTCCATTCAAACGAAAATAAACAACATGCTCGCCGTGTACCAAGTTGGAAGTCGTGCTGCTATATTTAGCGATGTTGATAAGCGCGCAAACTTACCGTGGAGGCTATAACATGAGCAGGGCCGGGGATATAGTCGTCGCACCTTCCGACAAAATGGTTGGATTTCTGTTCAGTTCTGTCAAAATTCTCGGCGGCTCGCTTCTTCGGAAATCTGGCCTCCTCCCCTCTCCACTCCACATTCTTCGACAAACAACTCTTCCTCAAGACGCTGACAACCTTCTGGTGGTCCCGGGGTTGCAAAATGTCAAACCAGGACTCCTTTTTTTCACCAGGAATGCACCAAAATATCCACTTCCTTGATCGCTAAAATGCCCAGGGGTAATACCCGCATGTTTTGATGGGATTGGCTGTTCCCGATGGCGGATGCACCCCTCGGAGATAGACGAGCACTTCTGCTCGAAGCACAAAACTAAATATTACGAGCAAAACATTTGATATAAGTATCATTACTTTCTAAACATCACGATCGATTAATATGATACCTATTACCAAACCTTTGACCCAGATAGACATGCACCATCGAAATCAACAAATTCTACTTGCAGTGCAGAAGTGACATCTAGCAGGATTCATGTGAACTGCAGCAAACGACTTCAGCCTAGAGTAGGAAGGTGAAAATTTAAATATGACGACTATGAATAATCATATTTTGCCTGTTTTGAAAAATAATTTTCAATACTAATTGGAATTCTAAGGGATTCTAAGAGATATCTGCTTTTGGTATGAATTATGCTCATCTCTACCTAAACTACATGATGAAATAAACAAGATACAGATACTTTCATAAGGTCTTTGGACAGACAAAAGTGAAAATTTTTCCTCACATAAAATTTACAGTATACGTATATAATAATCTATAATAACCAGTCAGAAACCATGGAATCACCATCAGATTGTTTTATTATACACAGAAAACAAGAACTATCATGGCTGTTGGTGTATGGATGAATGCAACAATGGTCAGACAACCCAGTATAGAACAGGCAGTGTAGAAAAATATAGTGAGACTCTGTACATATTTGTAATAGCAGTGACAATGACTGCTTATGTCATGTATAGACCTTTGGTGCAACAAGTTAATAACACAAAATACCTCAAATATGAGCATTCAACTTGTATTTATGTGCAAGCCTTTCTCTTTTTGTTGCAGGTTTTTACTTAGGAGTTACCATGATAGAGTTCATGATGTAATCAACAAAAATATTACAAGTCAAATGTTAGCAAATAGTACATTTCCACTCTAGACATTATCTAAAAGTGTCATATAAAATATGCGATCACAGTGAGAAAACTTTGAAATGTTTGGGAACATTGAAATGCAAGTTTAGTACAAGGGTAAATTTGCATATAAGAAATTCATTGAGTGTGTTTAAATCGATTGAGAAACTCATAGTGACATATGGATTGTCAATATCATAAATGTAGAATATATTCTGACATATACCTCAGTGCAGATAATATAATAAAATATACAAGATCATCTACGATAGCCTCATGGCTCACAATGTGCAACCAAAGCAGTTTTGACTTGTCAAACTAGGCTAGAACCTTTCCTCTTTAGGACACAAGCATACAAAGTGCCCCCATGCCATGGCTGTGGTCTGAGGCTATGATATATACAAATGATTATAACTATCGTACAGTCATGGATCTGTCTTCTTTAAATCAATAATAATGCCACAGTTACATTCAAGTTAAAAACAGGCTGACATAATAAGTCTAAAATTTGGCAACACATTCACTACCTCAATACTGATTGAAACCAGGCAATACAAAATACCATGAGAAGGTTATAATAAACTTGGCTTTATCCAAGATTGACAAATTACAATGTTATATTTTATGACCAACCAAATCATCAAGATATCTTAACTAAAAAACGACACTACACAGTGAACACTTGATGTTAGAGCGAGAGCATATTTTGGTGTTTTGGGTTTGACACTAAATACCATGTAAAGATTGCCAGCACACATCACACTGTCATCAGAGATTGTCATACTGTACGTTCACACTGTATTAAATACATCTATACAACACATACACATGCAAATTTACACACACACACACACACACACACACAAACATACAAGCACACACACTGATGTATACACACATACGGGCAAACATACACACACATGCACACAAGGCTCACATAGTTACTTGCAAGAGTCTATTTACAATATCATATTTACAAGATCATTATTTACAGTTTACCATGACACATTTCCACAAGGGTTTTCAGAGCAGTACTGTTGTTGTGACTAAGAATCATCCTAACATCAAAGGTAGTGACTAGTCTTATAGATGTTACTGAATCATTGCTTACATGTTTAATTACATGCCAATCTCAACGTGTTACTATTTAGAGATTCCACATACAGCTAGCACAAATATCTGGTTTGTAGTTAGTAACATTTTGGAGTCATAAATTGTCATCTACATGTATTAATAATATGTAAGCAAGGAATGACATCCACAAATGTAGAATCTGTTCAGACAACATCTATGCTTTGGCTTTGAGTATTTTTTGAAACAGATTTTTGAGAGCTGTTGAAAACATTTGCACCTTCAATTGTCAGTTCTTCTTCACTCACTTTTGGATATAATATTGGAAATATGTTAAGTCAATTCAATGCAGACATGATTCAATTTTCCAAGGCACAGTTACACGTAACAGCACTTAAGCAAATACAAGTTCATTGTCACAATGTCAAGAATTAACATCCAGGTCATATGAGTGGAAGGTCTTGCAGTTTTAGCCAGTTAAACTGAAACTTTATTGTCATGTTTCGAGTTTTTACTCCTACCAGTAACCGCATGTCTCCAACAAACATGTACCTGGATATCACTTCCAAAATGTACGATCATAGCTCTAGCCAGCAGAGCAACTCTTGCCCTGACACCCCAAATCTACCTTTGAAATGGGGCATCATTCTTGCTTGCAGAAACTGCCTCAAATCTGGTCACATTTTCACAACTGGACATGTGTGGTAATAAGAGAAAACACAGCCCTCCACTGGGTAGAGGTTTCATAACTTAAACACACGCAAAAACTCATCACATACATGTACATGTACATGACTCAGAAGATACCCTTCCATGCTATGTACAGTACATGCATGTCATTTGAATATAGCTGTATCAATAGTGCATTTTGAAGTAAAATTAAAGGGGTAAGGAAAAATACATAGCCAACATGGCATAATTTTTCTTGAGTGGCAATTTTTCTTTTGATAGCGATACTTGCATTTGTTACATAAATTTTGTGAATATTTTCACCCTGTAGAGACAGAATATTCATGAACACATCTCCTATGTACACAACTGTTTTCCCCCCTCTATATGTAGAGCCCCAGAGCCTTGTGGAACTCCTGTAGACAGGCCGTCAACTGGGCGAACTTTGGTCTCTCTTCTGGCGACAGGGCCCAGCAACACGCCATGATGGCAAACCTGGGAAAAACAGGAAAATTGTTTAAGTGTTAGGGCCACCAGATGACAAGACGATTTTGAAATCATTATTGAACATCTTGAATGATAGAATAAGCAATGCAGCTGGAAAAAAATGTTAACACTCTTTCTTAAATATTGAAAACCCACGCACACTCCCACACACAACGCACATGCGCACACACACACGCGGCCGCGCGCGCACACACGCACACACACATTCAAGTCCCCCCACACACACTTTCAATGCACACATACACACACACGTATGCACATACAGACACACACACACATAGATACACACACACACACACACACACACACAATGATTTGAGAAAAAACAACTGTACAACTCACAGTTCATCAGGACAGTTAATAGGTTGGGGTGCCCTGAAACCGTCCCTCAGGTACGAGGCCATCTCAAAGGGGTCAATGTCGGAGTATGGCGTCTGTCCCAAGGTCATCAGTTCCCATAGCAACACGCCAAACGCCCACTGGGAAGACGAAAAAAGAACGTCTGAATACATGTTTGTGTGCACACAACTGAAACTGGAATAATCTTTGCCAGAAATACCACCTGCGAGTGCGAGTAAAATTGGAGCTGTGTGGGTATTTGTCTACCTGCATCTAACATACACCATTACTGAGTTTATACATACATATTGGTGTATGTGGAATTTCATTTGCTGCTTTTATTCATTACCACATAAAAAAAATAAAGGCAATGGTTTCTGTTTACTTGCAAACAGTTTAGGTGTTATCTACCAAATGTACAGTTCCTAAATTCTGTGCCTGTGTAGGTATTCAGAAAAATGTATTTCGAGCCCTGTTTGCCAATGAAATAATGAATGAAAGACCTTTATTGCACATTTTTGCTCATTGCGAACTAAGTACAGGTAATGGTAAATAGCGATGGTAGACTAAAATATATCTATAGTAAAAACTACACATGTACAGGTTCTGCTTCTTCTCGCTTCTTAAGACAGTTGAAAATGTAAGAACAGATGGAGTTTATAGTACGAGGATTATCGAATTTCATGAGAAAAGTGAATTTATCTTTTCTATCTAAAAATCTAAAACTAAGGAAATAATTTTGAATACAAATGAAGAGAATCTTTCTCTCATTATTATATAGAGAAAGATTATAACAATACCTACATTATAATAATACAATGTAGGAAAACTTACCACATCACTTGCTGAAGAGAAGTGTTTGTCCACCAGACTCTCGATGGCGAGCCATTTGACGGGTCTGTTCTCGTTGTCTCCCAGACAGTGGTAGTCTCCTGAGAACAGGTCCCTCGCTAAGGCGTTGTCTGTCACTTTGACGTTTAGCCCTTCATCCAGCCTACAACAAGAATAAAGAAATCAGAGATTAATTGTTGATGTCATGTATCCATAAAGTCTCGCATGAATAAAGTGTCTGTAACCGTTACTCTATTGCGCTTACATTTGTATGTGATCGGTGATTAATTAACCTGATGAAGGCGACAGTGGTCATTAAAAATTTGATCCATCTGTATCTGTATCAGTATAGCCAGTATAACCACCCTTCGGCATAGCACACCAGCTTCGCAGGCACGCGGCGCGCGGCAGCTAGCTATATCACGCCGAACGACTTGTTACGCTCAATCTTTGCACATTTAATTGCAGGAGTTGTTTAAAGCTTTCTAGTGATGATGCCCCAACTGTGCTTGGTGGCAATGGGTTCCAGTCTACGATAGTTCTGGGGAAATACGAGTTTTTGAACACCTCAATTCTTGGCACAATCCTTATGTACCCTTTGCAGACTTCTGGGAAGTATTTTGGATTTTCGTGACCAAAAAGTTCACAGTTCACTCCAGGAAGTGTTTTGTGAAGTGTGGATTGTCATCATCATCATCATCATTGGTTGGGATAAACATACATGAACTCAAAACAAATCCATGAACTCAAAACATAAGTACTACTACAAATGGGGTGTCACAATGTTGACTTTGGGTACTTACACACAGTTTCTGGTGGCCAGATCTCTGTGCACCACCCCACGTTTCCCCAGGTACTGCATGGCTTTACCAATCTGTATGGCCAGGTGCACCAGGTCTTGTGTGGACAGGATCTGGGAAAGGAAGGAACCAAAATACATAATAGTCAGTTGTCATGAATCACCAACTTCCAGTCTGCAGTATTTGGACTATTGCACGCTGGGGTGTGCCCCTACTCTTTTTTCCAAAGGTGTGGTGGGTTCTTTAACGTGCATGGGACCTCAATCTAATGTCCTGTCCGAAGGACATCCCTAATGGAAGCTAAGTACTCATTTTCACCTGAGTGAAGTGAAGAAAGTCATGTAAAGTGCCTTTCCCAAGGGCACAAGATCTGTGACATGACAGGATTTTGAACCCAGGACCTCTTGGTTCATCATGAAGTCACAGGACCCAACAAATAAATATAATTCACCATAGTGGTGTAGTACCTGATGCGTGTGTGTTTCCGAGGCTCTGCAGTGCTTGAGAAAGACCTTCAGGTTCCCGTGGTTCAGGTAGGGGAAGATGGTCATGGGTCGGCCGTCGTCCAGACAGGCGTACGTGATGGTCTGTACGTGTCGGTGGTGAACACCACGCAGCATGCAGCTCTCACGCAGCAGCAACAGGACCTGCTCTTCTGATGCTTGGTCTGCAAGGTAAACAATTTACTGTTAGTAACCCTTTCTCGTATTCTGCATCTTAAAATTTCTCTCTATTCTCATTGTAAATGCTGACTGCAGCCAGAGACTACATGTGGACACCACGCAGCATGCAGCTCTCACGCAGCAGCAACAGTACCTGCTCTTCTGATGCTTGGTCTGCAAGATTAACGAGAAAATAGAGATTTCAGACTTCTAGGAAGTACATGCAATCCTCAGCTTCTTGAAATTCCTCTTGTAGTCCTCTAATTCCTGCTAGCTCCCCGGGCAGATTCTGAGACTTCAACCTCCAGTCATTCTGGTACTCAATCTTGTGCTATCAGCCCAATAATGATTCCACAAGTAGTAATACCATAGTACATATAGTAGTATCTGTATTCATAAAGGTTCAGATATCAAAAAGTTAAACAATGCATATTGCAACTGCATCTGATACTATCAGTGATAGACGTACAGTCAAATCTGCCCAAGAGACCACCTTTACATGATAAAGATCACCTGGCCAGTGTGACAATTTTTTGATGGCCCCATAGATAATTTTTTTTTTCATTTAACATAAGTACATGTATTAGGAATCTTCTATAGTGACCACTAATGTCCACAGATATTCTATGTCCCAAGAGGTCTTTTTGTTTAGCATTTGACTGTATATAGATATAGAGATCAATGACTTAGATTTGTCATTTGACTGAGATAAAATGCCCACCTGTGACAGTCTTCACGAAGACCTCCTGTTCCGTCCTGTCCTCCCCCACCACAATGCCGTGATAGATTCTCCCGAAGGTGCCCTCCTGTAGCACCTCCCCCAGTGTGACATCACTACGCTGGATACAGATGTCTGACAGCTGCGACCGGATGTCTGACACTGGCTCTGTTATGTTCGGGTATCTTCTCAGGCTGGGGTAGGCTGGGAGGAAAAAAAGTTTCATGTCAAAATCTGGGAGTCAGGAAGGCAATGCCTTGAAGAATACAACTTCTTAGGCTGGGGTGGGCTGGACTTAAGACAGGAAAAATTTCATTTCAAAATCTGGGAATAAGGATGGGAATTGTTTTTCAGAATAAGACATTAGCTTGACTAGGATGTCTTCTCAGGCTGGGGTGGGCTGGAAGGAAGAGAGGAGAAATTTTGTTTCAAAGAATGGCAATGTTTATGAAAAATGAAACATAAGTTTGACTGGGATGTCTGCAACCGGTTCGTTCATGTTGGGGTATCTTTTCGGGCTGGGGTAGGCTAGGAGGAATCAATGTGAAACTTTCCTGATCAAATAAATGTATATCCATAAAACTGACTGAACGTAAGAACTTACACGGATGTTTCAAGCAGAATCAGTGGTCAGAACCTATGGCTGCCTTTGTTTTTGTTTTCAATAGTTTGTAGGCTTTTGAAATTTGACTTCCATTGGCACAATGTTTCAGGAAAAATTCCAACTTTTGCATGCCAAACTTTGAAAAGTTACTGCAGTAAGAAGCAAGAAAACAACTTGGATCATCAACAAAAAAAAAAGTTAAATTTGTTGGGAACAATCGATCATGTTGGCACTGAGCTTTGTCAAGAACCCAGACTAGTATACATGTAGTACAGCAAGAAGTAGACAAGAGTTTGATCTTACCCGGAGCGCCGAAGGCCCCCAGACCTGACGTGTTTGGTGTGTCAGCACGGAGGTACGTCTGTGTACTGCTCTGGGACAGGACCTGGGAGCTGTCTGAGTCACTGCAGGGCAGAAACAGAATAAAGAAACTTTTACAACATTACTTTAGCAACTCTTCTGACAGATCTAACAGGCCAATCCCATAGCCCCATCCATCGCCATCAAAACTTAGAAATGCAAATTTAAAACGTAAAAAATGAAAATACATTGTACATGTATTTGACGGACATGCAGCCACTTTCTCATTGGAGACTACTGTATAACTACTGTACGAAAGAAATGTTTCAACCGCAAATTGGAATCGCACATAAAAGAACAAAACTCTCACGAACTATAGTACAGTGTTAGGAAGTGGATTAGGGTAGAGGAATGCTTGGTACAATACTACTGTATTAGGAGGTGGGTTAGGGATGTAGGGTTAGGGTTGAGAAGTGCTCGGTACACAGATTAGTGCACAAGAAATAGCCTGTACCGTGTCCTACAAGAGCGAGGAACGTAATTATCGGTAGCTGTCCTGGAACACACATGAGAAAAGTAACAACTTATAAATCATGGGTTAGAAAAAGAGACCTGTGCCATCTCTCAACTGTGCACTCAAATGACCACTTTTCAAGGCAGAACTTAGATGTTTCAGTGATCTTTTTTAGTGAAAATTACTGTTGGAAGTACCACAGAACATAATATGACTGCTTTTGTTTTTTTTAAATAGTTTTTTTGGGCTTAAAAAATCAAAGAAATTCTTGTTTAGGTTCTTTGCCAATCTTTCTGAGAGTTGACAAAAGGCATCTGCATAATATACTATAAGGCCTGCTCCTGAGGCATCGCCAAAAAGGAGTGGCAATGCACGATTGAGAGGAGCACAGAAGAAACAGATTCCTTAAAGGTAGGGTAAAGCATTAAAATGAGCAAAAAGAGAGTTGAAGAAATTACAAGAAAAAGGGCAAGTAATCATTAATAGATTTTAATGTCAATAAATGCAATAATTCAGATCTATGCCGTGAGAGAAAGGAACGTACAAAATAAGAAACTAAGAAAGCAAAAGTGTGTCAGAGAGACTTCGTATCAGTCCATAAGAAATACCTTATTCTGTCATTCTGTTTGATGGAGTGGACGTTGATTGCAGCTATCGCCATGGCGATGAGGAAGATGATTGTACAGGCCACGCCCACAGCGATGTAGAACACACTGGTGGAGTTGGAGACCGAGTAGTCTGTGGTAAGGAAGGTACAAGAATGTCATAGTGTCAACATTTTATCTAACATTTTAGTCCAAGCTTTTGTAACAAGAAAACAGATACATTTTATATCAGACTTTTGTGAAGTGTAAAGTACATGTATGCTATCATCTTCCTGAATTCCCCCATGTCGACCACAAAAAAAGCAAAAAGATTCTACTACTACAAAACACAAGGAAAATGACAAAAATCAACTGGAAAGTTCAAAACTAAAGCCAGTAGCAAAACATACTTTACTATAAACAGTGCTATTACTTTTTCTTTTTCTTTCCAAAATCAGTATAGTATGGGACACTTGCATAACTTGCCATGCAATATCATCAATGATATTATATACTATAGGACTCAATACTCAAGTCAGTAGTACTGTAACCTTTACCTTTACCTAGTCCCATCCTCATGCCTGAGGGTTAGGGACTGTAATAGTACTGTGACAGCTACAGCATTACATGCACCCCAACTCTTACAACAGACATTTGTATGTCATGCAGGATCTGTTCAGGCAGAGATAGGAAGACTGACAGACCTGACTCACCTCTCACTATGGGGGAAGAGTTGTTCACGCTCCCACTGCCTGGTTTACTCACAGGGGCACTGTCTGGAAATAACAAAAAACTTCAGTCGTATTACTACATACTTATATGCAGTACAATTTTCAGGTAGGCTGTGATATAATCAAACACTAGCAAGGATCTAAGATGGCATTTTCTCTATAACAAGACAGCTGAACTTTGCAGGACAATGCATAACTATTCCGTAAATTCCCTTAAAGCTACTCTTTCACAGGTCTTGATGAGGAAGACAGGCACACTGTACAATCATTGTACAGATTCAATGTACCAGGAAAATTTCATTTATTATCTTTCAGATCATGTATATTGAAGCCACAACCTTTCCAGACGCGTGGAAGTCTAGTGAGCGTCAAAAGTTGGGATTAAACCTCTCCACCTACTCAGCTCAATCTAATTTACTTCAAGTATAAAACTAAGACATTCTATTATTAAGTTTTTTATCATGATCAACTCGCAAAGAAACAAGCACATTGTTTCATTTTGACTTGCATCCAGTTACTAGAGAATTCTTTCAGCAGTGACAAGTTTTTGAAGGGTAATGCTCTCACGAGACTAGGCCTCTCTGTGAACAAGATGGACTGATAGTCATCGAAAATTTGGATGTTAGTAGTTTTACCCTTCAAAAACTTGTCACTGCTAAAAGAATTCTCTAGTAACTGTAACTATATGTGACAAATGATTCTCTTCTACGAATTGTACCCAAAATTGATACATTGAAAAGCAGGTATACGCACTTATCATGCACATTTTCCGTCTGCGGAAGTTGAGCACTGTGTAGTTCTGGGCTGAGTGTAGAGTCACGTTCAGCTGTATGTGCACCCCCACCTCCGCATTGGACTGGCCCGAACAAGTCAGGTTCACTCGGAAAACTGTGGGGGACAGAACATAGCACGTCATTCTTAACACACAAAATACATTGTACTTCGTTCTGAAAATTATGTGAGAGTGAACATAGTACATTATTTGTAGCACACAATATACTTTGCAGTCAGGTTCCATCTCAAAACAGTAAAGGAATGAGTATAGCGCATTATTTGTAGCTCACAAGATACAATCTTACTGTATACATGTATTACATAGGCACTGCTCAGTACAAGTATCAACAGTCAACTGAAAACTTACTCACTTTCCCAGCTCTAGAAATAAAGCTCTGTCTTAAAGAAGTATTAAGTTCAGCAGAGTCATGTAAAAATATTAGGGTGATAAGGGGGGTTTTGAGGATATGAATTGAGTGTATATAACAGTGTCTGACAACAGAAACAGGCATACCTGACTCCGCCTGTGGAACCTCCCCAGCAAGAGAGATGTTGGTCTCTGGCTTCTTCAGAATTCTGGTGTTTTCTGACAGGAGATTCATTCGATAACGAACCTGGTAATGAGAGATAAACAAAACCAGTCCTGTTATTACTATGGTGAACATCATCAATTATCACCATTATACCATAATTCTCCTATAAAAATTGTCAGTCAAAGTTGATGAGGTAGAAAGTTTACAAGCCTCAAAGTAATAATATCACTTTAAACTTTTGACACAAGTCAGAGAACAAGAAATAGCAATGCCTTCAAGTACCAGAGTTGTCAACCAAGGATTGAGGTGTTCAAGAATTCATTCTTTCCTAGAACTATCGCAGAGTGGAACTCACTGTCACCAAGTACAGTAGGGGCATTGTCATTAGATAGCTTTATACCATGTCTAGAGTTAGATGTTCAAGGGTTAGGTGTAACAAGTCGATCGGTGTAATGTAGCCAGCTGCCGCCGCGTGCCTGCGAAGCTGGTGTGTTATACTGGCTATACAGATACAGATACTAACTCCCCATCAAGATGTTCTTTCCTATATATGCCATCAAATGAACCTCCTCTAAATTGTAATCCTAAACAAAATTGCATAACTGTAGTGTGATACCTATTTTATGATAATCATTCAACTCACCCCTGGCGTACTAGACTTCCATGTGAAGTGTAGACTGTTGATGTCTGCAGGTACAGGAAGGTTGAACTTCAGGGCATAGCTGTTCACCCGGTTATCTCTCACATAGTACAGATCAGCTGTCAACCCTGGAATCATACAGAAAGAACAAACTGTTATTATAAATCTGAATATGTGGGAAGCATATTACACAATACAACACAGTTTCACAGGGTACAGGTTTATTATGTTTACCGAAGGAAAACATATTGTTTCTACTCAGTTTCTTCCTCCTCTTCTGTTCCAAACACTAATCTCTGACCTGGCCAATGACATGATTTGTTGACGTCTGTCACCATAGTGACTGGTGTTGGGTTACATAATGTTGCAATTTCATGGTCTGCTTTACTCCTGTCACCATATACTCGTAGTACATGTATGTGGATGTGTAAAAATTAACAGGGCAGACCATGTCCGAAGGTAAACATTATGCATTTGCCTTGCAAATGTTACTTCTCTAGTTTATTGAGATTTACCACACTTGTAGAAGGATTGACCTTTTCAAGATGTTAGACCCAGAGACCAGACTGTAAAATTTGAACCACTCACACTGAGATGGGCACCTATTCTTTCTCATGAGTGTGGTAGGTTCTTGAATATGCTCGAGGTGTTGCTTTTCTTGAACACAGGACCTCAAGTTTATGCCCATCTAAGAGGGTGTCCCTAACAATGTTAGGTACTCATTTTTGCCTGAATCTAGTTAGGAAATACTGTAAAGTGCCTTTCCCAAGGGCATAACACTGCAGCCTACCAGAGATTCAAACCCTGAACCTTCAGATTCTAAGTCCCAAAAAAAAACACCTACTGTGACCTCAACGTGTATGCAAATTTGTAGTCATATGTGTATTTTTTACTGTATGTGTAATGTGTAATGAGCCCTGGAAGATTAGGCCTAACGGGCTAAAGGGTATCGTAATAAACTGAACTGAACACCTAAAGGTCACACTTGACAATATAGCAGTGTAGTCTAATAGAGTATTTGACTTTTAAATTAACCTTTTCCATTTATTTGTACAGCCAAGCCTTGTCTCCATTTGACGTGACCCTACGGACATCTTTAAGTCCTCCCCAAAGCCGTCTCCACACTTAAATCAGCTATCAAAGATCCTCTCTAAGTAGCTGGTTCAAATATATACATTTCCACACTTATCCTGGTCTCTGATATGTAAACACTCGGCTCCATTCATTCCCTTCATGAAAGACCTTGTTCCTAATTGCATCCCGCCTGGCTCATACACACCACCTAAAAAACATAAACAGTTCTTGTGGTAATCTCAGACCGTGCCCTAAGCCTTGTTTGCTGCACCCTGACACCTGGTACCGTAATGTGCTCTCTAACGCCCTTGTTTATACCACACACAAAAGGGGGAGATTCTCCCGCGCGGAAAGGGGATCGCCGCTAATGGACAGGCGAAGACGTCGGTTCTAGTCCAGCGGCGAAGACGTATCCCAGGGATCGCGACTCCCGGGAAATTCCCAATGAGAGACTTAGGAGAGATAATCTTGTTTGTCAAACCTGCCAGCGCGGAACTGTCACCCAGTTCTTGACATAACTAACAGATTTGCCATGCTACTGGGCAGAAAGAGTACTAAAGACAACAAAGATCACTTTCTCTCTGCGGACAATACGGGAAGAGGCACGGGGGAAGAGCAAGGACAGTTAGAAGTCCCAGTATTTGGGAAAGTAGGAAAGTCTCTTAAAAACTAAAAATGTCATCTTTTTTTCACATAAGCCACAAAGGCTGCACACTAATGCCACTAAGTCCTTAAAGTTATGCTAATGTACAGAAAACATTCCTAAAATGTCTACAGTTAACATTTGAAAGACTGTTCTTTTACTACAGTATGCGTACATGTAGACTTCTATTAATAACAAAAAATGCTTCAGAAAAAGACCAATATTCAAGTCCTTATACTATACACCTGCCACTCATAACTACCACAAACTTTTTCCTGACACTGATCACCTCATCATAACTGAGATTTTTTATTCTGATTTTACGATTTTAATTTTCCAATTTCTCTTCTATTTTTTTAACACAAAGTGTACTTTCCAAGTTGCTCACTCTAACTAAAGCTCTTTTGCAAACATATCAAGTGTACAGTTTGTATTTGGCTCCAAGGCTTCCAAGTACAGTTACACTGCATGCTGGGTACACGAGGCTGTTTCAAGACACCCCCAAAAATGGCAGCAGCTGCCTGTGATGATCATCACAGATTGGAGGTCATCTTAGGGGTCAGGTTAAGTCAACAGTGCAGGGTGAATACAATTTCTCACTGTAATTTGCCTTGTTCCATCAACCCCCATATTTAACCACCGCTATCTTTAACGTTACATCAATCAATGTCCAAACCTCCCAATGTCTGAACACATAATTGTGCCAGACAAACAAAAATAAACGGTATGTCTATGAAGGTAAAAATAATATAATAGACATCCAGGTAATGAGATACGAAAGAAAATAGTTACTCAAGCAACTGGATAGATTTAGAGTTTGACTAAGTAACTTTTTCATGAACCTCAAAGTCTATTAGAGGCCAAATGCTCATTAAAGCCTTATGCATATATTCGTGACATCAAGCTATGATGATGATGATGGTGATGATGATGACATATTCATAAGTAATGACCAATGATAGCTGCATTGGGACCAATTATATCTAACCATATTACCTAATAGAGCTTCTACTTTTGCTGGCAGCTTTGCAGGCTGACAATGGCTTGCACAAATAATCTACAGCAATGTTTTTCTTACCACACAAACCTTTTTGTCCCTGTATCTTTCCTTCCATTAAAAGTGGGGTGGGAAAGATGGGAACAGAGATAATGCTGCAATTTTTCCTGTTTTCCTAGATAAGATTTAACAATGGTGCTTTCCAAATTTGGTACGATTGACCAGGCACATTGTGTTCACCCATCACATATGGCATATTGGAATGTTTCTCAAATTTGACATGTCCCAAAAAGACAATGTTATCTTGAAATGGCATTAAAAAGGCTTGGTTGGACAATTTTCCCCAGGGAAGCTACAACAAAGGACCCATCCCCCTCCCCTAATTGAGGGGGAATGGCTCACTAATTAGTGTAAATAACCACTTCCAATTCGCTGTCAACAAGGGATGGAACTTGTCGTCAAATAGTTCTTCAAAATGCCGGGGATCGCCAAATGGTTTGTACGCTGACTCTGGAAGATATAGGTATTCCACAAATCCCCTCCTTTCTAATAGAAGACCATCGCTGAGTGAACATTGAGAAACCAAAAGTATATTTGCGTAACCCTTGATTTTATGGGATTTGAATAAGTAACAATGCTCGATGCAAGTATGATTTTAAGACAACAAAACATACAAAACGTGAAAATATGGTTCGTCTATAGAAGTCATTGACGATCTTTCAAATGTTTGGTGGCTCAGCCTCTAAAAAGATGTCTAAAAGACATTGATACAGAAAGCGTGTCAATGAGCATCCACATAGGAAAGAAGCAAAAGTTTACATTGCAAAGATTATATTGATAACATCACGTCACATATTTCTCCAGGCATTTTTTTAAACCCCAAAAGAATGTTTAACTCAGAAATGTTCCAGCCTACACTACAGTGCTGCAGCTGCTAGCTGGAGACTTACAACATGTACTTATGGTTCTGGATGGGTGAAGTTACAAGATGCCTCGGGTGCTCTGTTTAGTGGTTCAGCTGTTCTTTACTTAAGGAAACTGGTGTCATGGCAGAGTTCCACATCCATGGTCAGGTGACAAATCTATGGCCTACACACTTCCTGGAGTTTAACTATAAACAGTTTTGTTTTGCTTACAGGTCTTAAACAGGGATATCAAACTGAACACTTGATTTGATTTGATTTGATTTATTGAAATTGCAACAGTGCAATACATGCGGAATAGAGGCAGCTGTTGCTGGTGTTGTGTCCCGCACATAGAAACGAATACTGGACAGACAATACTCATTTTCACTTGAGTCTAGTGGGGAAAGTCGTGTTAAGTGCCTTTCCCAAGGGCACAAGATTGGTGACATGTCAGGACTCGAACCCAGGACCTCTTGATTTCAAGTCACACACGCTGCCAATGCGCCACACGACTTTTAGGAAATTCGGTCGTATGATTCTAAAATTGGATTTCTCTTATGAACAATGTTATCAGAGATGGCAGACTTTGTTTGCCCCTAGACAGAAATCATCCTCTAGCAGAACAAACTGTAACTGCACTGAAAAACACACACACACACACACACACACACACACACACACACACACACACACACACACACACACAAGCCCAAAACAAATTTCATAATTTTATGAAGTAGCTGGGAAACAAATGTAGGCTGAACTTATTCAAATTCTCAGTGAAAAAAAGAAAGTAAATTTCCATCTCACACCAAAAAGTAATCAATGTATGATACAGGTAATCACTTTGAAGCAGCCTAGAATCTCAAGTTGATTGTACACACCCTGCCATTCTTCCAAGGTACTTTACAAGACAGGTGTACTAGGAATGTATGTAAGAATGCTGCTATTTGCTTAGTGTTGAGATAAACAAGTATCTGGTGAACTGGAAAATAAAAGGGTACACAGGTTTGACAAGTTCCATCAGCAGACAGGGGTTGTGTTTTTTGTTCCACTAATCCTACAGAGATACTGAACACAAACCCTTGTCCACAGGACCATCTAGTGTACATACAATGTACTGTAAATTGGTTTACTTTTACGGTGTCTGTATCTGTATCTATATAGCCGGTATAACCGCCTTTCGGTGTAACACACCAGCTTCGCAGGCACGCGGCGGCAGGTGGCTACATTACACCGATCGACATGTTACATCTAGCCTTTGGACATCTAACTCTAGACATTGTTTAAAGCTATCTATTGACAATGCCCCTACTGTACTTGGTGACAGCAAGTTCCACTCTGCGATAGTTCTAGGAAAGAATGAATTCTTGAACACCTCAATCCTTGGTTGATAACTCTGGTACTTGAAGGCATGGCTCTATTTCTTGTTCTCTTCTGGGCTGGTATTAGGTACAGTAGTTTCTTTACGCACTTTTTTCTTGTGTCCTCTTAACATGAAATCATTAC